CGCTTCGATTTTGGAAAAATCAGAATGTGGGTTCAGACACAAATAGAAGAATTAAGTTTGGAGAAATAGGAGCTACTTACTCTGCCAAAAGAAGGTAAAGAAACAATGAGTAATAATATAGAAACATTCTAAAGGAAAGAGTGGAAATACTGGATCACTTTGATCTCATATTTGAAGCTAACTGCAAAGAAAATATAGAAGAGCTTGGGGCTTAAAGAAAATGGAAAAACAAATGAGAATATTTGGAAATTTCTCCTTGGGAAAAGTGGCAGGAGAGAAAAAGAAAGGAGAGGAGGTCCTCTTGAAGTTGAAGGTCATAAATGACACAAAGATAGAACAAGAATAATCTATCTGGACTCGTGTGTTATGCTAGTCATACATGCAGGTTTTGTGTAGAGCATGGGTTTATGAGCATGGGCATTTGTTATCCTTAAATCTGGGTTAAAAAATTGCAATGAGAAATCAAGACCCCAAAAGAATTTCAGAACTTCAAAATGCAGTCCAATACTCAGCTACCATTCTAATTTTCTGGTTCAGAGAAACAAATAGCTGACTCTAAATTTTCTTCTCCTGTAACTATCATGTGACATAAAAATTTTCACTCAGGCCTGACAAATACCTTTACATTGCTCCAGTCAAATAAAGGATTTGTATTTCCTTACTGTGAGATTCATGATAAGATGGGAGAGGTATAAGCCAAAGATGAAACGGTTAGAAGACAAAGAAGGTATGACACTTGGATTCATATCTTGAAGAATTCCCTCTCACTTATCTCTGACCCATCAAAAGAGAGGAGAAGTGAGGATCAAAACAAGGTTAGCAATAGATTTCTTAACCAAGAACTTGAATTTTTCTTTATTTTTATTGACCCCCCCCAGTGGTATTTTTTTCTCAATACAAAATCAAAAATGTGATTTTTCTGAAAGGTAATTTGCTGAAGCAAGTAGCTTTCTATTGTCTGCTGGTATTTGCACAGACATAGGGAAATTACAGAACAAAGTTTTTTGAGAAGTACTTGAATTAAATATGACCATGGATGGGCCCTTAGAGGTATTTAGTCCCCACTAAGCCTCCCACTTTCCTAGACAGCTGCCCTGTTCCTTCAGGCCTGAGACAAATATTTTAACATCTCTGGAATTAGGATCCATTTTTCAGTTGATGGTATCTGTGGATTACAATTTGCATTTTTCTCTTTTTTTTTTATTAGGAGATTAAATAATGTTATGTCTTTTTCACTTTATTTTATATTCATTTTTAACTTCATCTATATATTCAATAAATAAAGCATTTCACAACTTCTCATTCTTCCTACTGACTACCTCACTGGCACAATCAGGAGGGGTCCCAAGCATATCTAAGCACTTACCAGCATCTGTACCCAGGTGCTTTGCCTTCCTGCCTGCTGCCAAAGAACAGGGTTTCAAAGAATAATCCCAGGATCCCTGAAGGTTCCCAGGATGCTATTGGGGGTTAACAAGGCCAAAACTATCCTCATAATAATTCGGTCATTATTTATCATTTTACTCAGGTTTTCTCACAAGTGCACAATGGAGTTTTCCAAAGATTCACAAGGAATGATATCATAGAAGGCTAAATAAAAAAGCAGATAAAAACTCAGCTCACTTCCATTAGTAAAACCAGACATTAAAGAGATTTGCAAAAGTATAAAACAATACCATTCTTCTCACTGAAGGCTTTTGATTGAGAAAATGGAGGATTTTGTTTCCCCACAGAAATTATATTTTTTGTTAACATGAAATGAGTTTATTCTTCTTTTAAAAATTAATATTTAAATTTTTCAGATATAGTTTGCATGCTAAATATAAATAAAGATACACAACAATTCTTTAGGGTCCTCAATAATTTTTAAGATTTCAAAAGTGTCCTATGACCAAAATATTCAAGAATGATTGACCTAGATGCAGGGTTAGTGCTTCTACCTTCTTGTCTTGAATACTAACCCATCCTCTTTCACATACTCTAGCAATTCTCTCTCTCTCTCTCTCTCTCTCTCTCTCTCTCTCTCTCTCTCTCTCTTTACTACAGAATTTTCATATATAAAATGCTGTTATTTCTTCTATTTTAAAGCAAAAACAAAACAAAACTTGTCTTGAATTTTCTTCCTCTGCCAGCTTCTCCACTCCTTCTCTGTTCACCTTTGCACCAAACCTTCTCAAAAGAGTTATCTGTACTTCTGGTAAAAAATTCCTCTTTTCATTCTCTCTTAAATCCACTCCCATTAAATTTTCTTATGCCTCTCTTTGCCCTAAAACTCCTCACTAAGTTCCCCAAATTCTGTGCAAAATGCCAAATCCTTATTTGACACATAAATCATTCCATCTTCCTTGATACACTGATAGTTCTGGATTTGCACAGTTCTAAGATGCATGAATCTCAGTCACCACCATTAAGTAAAACAACCCAGTCCCTCAACAACATGGTTCAAATCCCAGTTACCACAGTTTATTAACCTTGAGTAATTGATAAAGTAAAAACTTCTGTGTCAGGTCATTAGTGAACTAATTGTAACATAAATAGCAGATGCACATTATGATCAGTGACAATCACATCACTTGTCTCCAAGTCTATTGTCTCTTGGTTCCCGTGCATCTGTTTTTCAGCTCATTCACAGCCAAGTGCATAACTACTTTGCCTCCTCTTTCTTGGGGACACAGCAACATGATACTTTACAAAAATGGATCATCAAAAGAGGGAATTGTCCAAAAGTGAAATTCTGGTCAAACATAAATGGAGTTATGAAAGAAACAATTGACTGTGGTAATGTGGATGCTGCTTTCTTTCAAAAGATGGTGGATATGTGGCCAGAGGAATTCCATGAAGGTGAAGCTACTGACACAGGTGAGGAAAGCAGTTGCAATGAAAAGGACAAGAACGCCTTGGAGGCCCATAAAAATACTGCTGTGAAAAGAACTCTCAGAGACAACTTCCCCTCAGTAAAGAAATTCTAGAATATCTTTCATGACATTTGAAGGTAAAAATGATAAAAATGTTAGAAATTGACCAAACTTAAACAGGAGTATGACAATGTGCCAAGTCACAGAAAACATGTCAGTCTGTATCACAAGTTACACAATGAGAACAAGGCAAGCACTGTTCAAACTATCGATACTTTTTTTTTCAAAAATAAAATACTTTACTTCTCAGTTCCCACTGTTTTAAACTACAATGTGCTGAGTAAAAACTAGTTTTGCCATTTTTTTGTTTCCCTACATGAACATAATGATCAGAATTAATATGGTGACAAAAATTTTTAGCAGAATAATAGTAAGTTTTCCTATATTACTACAGTTGTTTTTCGCAATCACTCAATGGTTTTCCAGTCCCACACAACTGAGAAAGGAGGTCTGTCCATACTCTATGTGACTTTCAGGATGCCATACTCTCTTGGCTTTCTTTCTGCCTACTGGTGGTCCTTTCCAGTTTCTCCTGTTCTTAGCATCAGAGGACCTCAAAGCCTAGCTGCACTTTTTCTTTTTGGTACTGAGGATTGAGCCCATGCTTTACTACTGAACTACAGCCCCTTTTATTTTTTTTACTTTGAGATAGGGACTCACTAAGTTGCTTAGGGCCTCAAAAAATTGCAGGGGTTGGCCTTGAACTTGCAATCTTCCTGCTTCAGCCTCCCAAGTCACTGGGATTACACCACTGTGCTGGGCTATTCACTTATTTATCTATACTAACTCCCTTTGAAATTTCATTCAGTCTCATGGCCTAAAATATCATCTATATGACAACAACCGCCACATTGACTTCTTCAGCCTAGACCTCTCACCTGAACTCCTGACTTACATACCCAACAGTCTATATGATATCTCTACTTGGCTATTTTAAGTATTAAACCTAGTATATCCAAAACTAAAATTCCTACCTTTATTCCACTAAAAACCTTCTCTATCTATAGTCCAGATTTTTCCATCTCAGTTGATGACAAGTCCTTCCTTCCTGATGTTCATGCCAAAAACCTTAGAGTATCCTTAACTATTCTCTTTTTCTCACAGCCCCTGTATAATCTGTCTGTAGTCACACTGGCTCTACCTTCAAAATATAATGAAATCACAGCACTTCTCCCACACCTCCACTCACCATCCTGGTCCATGCATCATCATGTCTTGCCAGGATTACTACTGTGATCCTCTTAGCTGGTCTCCTTCCTAATCTATTTTCAACAGAACAGCCAGGGTAATTCTTTTAAAACATATATCACATCTTGCTATTCCTCTACTCAGAAAATCCCATGGGGTTTTCATTTCATTCAGAGAAAGACCAAGATCTTTCCACAGACCTGTTAGGCCCTACACAACCTGGCCCCTTGTTAGTTTTCTAATTCAATCTCTTCTTCTCCCTCACCTCCCTCCATGTTAGCTACTCCTACTAGTCTACTGCTGGCCAGTGCTACCTGAATACTCTAGGCTGGGTGTGTGCTACCCCTCAGAGACTTTGCACTCTTTATACAAGCTATTCTTCCAGATGTCCACCAGGTGAACTCCCCAAAGTGTTGCTCAAGGTCACTTTCTTAAGGTACAACCATCCATACTAAGTGATTACAACCCAGTTCCCCCATCCAGAAGCCCTTATCATGTGCATTTTGCCCTATTTTCCAATGGAATTTGTCACTTAGTATACTGTATAATTTACTTATTTGTGTTAATATCTATCTCTTGCTGCTTAGAAGGTCAATTCCATGATGTCAACAACTTCTTGTCTATTTTATTTATTGCTAAAGCTCAATGACCTGGTGATAGCATCTTAAATACAGGTATTCAATAATTATTTGCTAAATAAATGTAGCTGAAAAAGTTCCAAGTTACTAGTTATTATACTAAATTCAAGGAACTTTTTGTGTAGATCTAATAAACTCTAATATGATGAGGGAAATCTGAAAATCTAAAATATTATTACACATTCATTTTGACAAGAATTACTTCCTGGAAATTTTGCATATGCCAAGGCCAAAAAGGACCCTAGGCAGTCAAACATACTTTTCCAGTTCTGGTGCAGAAATTTCTTGCTTTCGGACATGGTTCTGAATTGATGAGAGTGCTTCTGGTGAGTACTGGGCAGCATTGCTCTCCATGTATTTTAGAACATACTCATCTATATCAAGGATGATGAATCGGTGGCCAAACACTGGAAAGAGGTAGCAATACACTTAGTTTTATTGTTTCCCTCATGTGATCAGAGATAAAATACTATTAACACTCCAATGATATAACCCAGACTAATGAATTACCAATAGCTGTATAAATTAATATGCAGTACTTTTCTCAGCTTTTAGGAAGACCATTGTGAACACCTAACTAACATGGTTGCATTAATATAAAAAATTTAGTGCCAACAAATGCAACCAATTTAAAGTTTAATTGATAAGGAATGAGGTTAAGATATTATACCACTTATAAAAGTCTACTAGATTTATCTCATCTGGAATAAAACCTAATTGCCTCTCACAAAACTTAAATTAATTAAATTACAACTAAGAAGAACCCATTTACTCAGTCAGTGGGAAATTCTGAACTGTGTTTGGACCTACCGTCAATGACAGCACCAATGAAGAAGTCACTAGGGCCATAGTAGATGGGGTTTTCTGCCTCAGAGAATGGTTTAATAACTCTAGTCTTCCCAAGGTACTTGCCCCCAATGATACCAGAATTTCTAACAGGAGGCTCAAAGATACTGATCATATCAGTGGCTAGAAAATAAGAGAAGATAAATCGGCGGTCTTTGTCTTCTGGGATAGGGGATTCCTAGAACGGTGAAGAAAAGAAGATGTTATGAAGATTCCTAATCTAGCCAGTTTCCCCAAATTTAAATTCCTACAGAGACAGGTATATAATAAAAATCAATAAATAAACATAAGTTCTGCTATATATTTTATGCATTACAAAGCACATATAAAAATATTGGGGGCTATGAAATAATTGCACTCATAAGTAAGATATAGATAGCCAGGCATGGTGACGTGCCTGTAATTCCAGTGGCATGGGAGGCTGAAGCAGGAGAATTACAAGTTAAAAGCCAGCCTCAGCAACTCAGTGAAGCCCTAAGCAACTCAGCGAGACTCGTCTCCAAAATATGAAAAAGGGCTGGGGATGTGTCTCAGTGGTTAAAGACTTGGGATTCACTCCTGCGTACCAAAAAAAAAAAAAGAATTTAAAATAAACAGACAAAATAATATTTTCTTATCAAACATTACATATTGTATGGTCTTGTATATCCTTTGGAGGGCATGTACACTGTTTTGAAAATCATTGTTCAAATTCTGTTTTTTATGCTCTTCTAACACTTCAAGTCCTCAACTAGCTTGCTAAGCATACACTTTACCACTGAGCTACACTCCAGGCCACAATTTTTTAAAAATATGATATATTACTGGGCATGGTGGTGCCCACCTGTAATTCCACCTACTCAGGAGGCTGAGACAGGAGGATCACAAATTTGAGGACAGCCTCAGCAACTTAGCAAGACCCTAAGCAACTTAATGAGACCCTGCTCAAAATTTAAAAAAAAAAAAGAAATTGAAAATTTGAGTAGTTGAATGATTTGCTCCTCATTTGTGAATAATGTAATTACATATTTTTCAAAGGACCTAACATAGTACACTAAAATTCATATCAGACAACCACCATGTGTAGTACCTGATGTAAACAAACTTTATTGAGCAAATTGGATTCTTCTGTATTTTGGGTCTTCAGAGTTTCTTTGACAGGCAGGACATGCATCAGAACCAATTTTTCTCTTGTAATGGCATAAAGTTTTTCTTTTGTGCTCAAGTTAATGTTTTTACACTTCCCCAAGTTCCTGGACTAGCACTCTATTCTGAGCCTCAGGCAGTTTACCAGCAGATTTTTACTTAAACAACCATCACCTGCCTAGCTTTCTTTCACTTTATTGTCTCACAACATGTCCAGTGTCCTTGTCTGAACTCCTTATATTAACTCAATTATACTGAACCTATTGATATTTGTCTCTGGTCATTTTTATCTTAATTTCCCTCTTTTCTTCTGAAGTATCCACCTCACTCCTACACCTTTTCCCCTGATTGTCCAGCATGCTTTCTTTTTTTAGAACTTTTGTGAGGAGCCTAATAAATACAGTTCTCTATTTAGCAAATAAGTCAAGAAAAAACATTTGAAAGTTACCTTGACCAGAAAGAATATCACTTCTTTTTCCCTGACCATTCAAACATACCCAGTATTTCATTGCTAATAATTCTGATGGCTTTCTTTTAAATGTTTTTTTTTTTATCATGAACTACAACACAGAGAAAACTACAAAAACAAAGAAAACCCCATAATATACAGCTCAAAGAATTTCACAAAGTGAACAACCATGTAATCACCACCCATGTCAAGAAACAGAACACTGACAGAACCTAGAAAGTGCTCTCTATATGCTGCCTTTCCCCACCAAAAAAGCCACTATCTTGAGTTTTATGGTTTTCTTTATCATCATCACAAACAGGCATCCCCAAATAGTTTTGTTTTGACTGCTTTTAAATCTTTATATAAATGAAATTATATGACATGTATGTATTAATTTGTGTCTGTAACCTTACATTTTAAATTATGTTTGGCTAGGCATGGCGGCACATGCTTGTAATCCCAGCAGTTCAGGAGGCTGAGACCAGAGGATCACAAGCCCAACTTCAGCAATTCATTGAGACCTTAAGCAACTTAGTGGGATGTAGCTCAGTGATTAAGTGTCCCTGGGTTAAATCCCCAGTACTCCCTCAAAATTATGTTCGTATGATTTATACATGCTAATACTTTAGGCTACAGTTCACTAATTTTCACTGTATAGAATTCAAATCATTGTACAAATTAGCCATAATTTATTTATCTATTCTCTAATAGGTAGATACTTAGGTCTAGTATGGATATTATGGCTATTACTTTTGGCTATTATGAATTATACTGTTATGAACATTTTTATCTTTTGGTGTATAAATAGATACTATCATTTTGGCACAATATGGTATTCTGGACTATGTTAAATTGTTTTACTAAGTGGATGTATCACTGAGAGTATGAGAGTTCCTGTGGCTCCATATTCTCACCAACATACTAATCATTCTGATGGGTGAGGAGAAGTTGTTCATTGAGGTAGTAATTTGCACTTCCCGGATTACTGAGGAGCACCTTCTCATACGTTTAAAGGCTTTTTTGATATTCTCTTTTATGAAATGCCTGTTAAGAAATGAATTGAGCTGGGTACAGTGGCACACACCTGTAATCCCAGAGGCTTGGGAGGCTGAGGCAGGAGGAGCACCAGTTCAAAGCCAGCCTTAGTAACTTAGTGAGACCCCAAGCATCTTAGCAAGACCCTGTTTCAAAATAAAATATAAAAAGGCCTGGGATGTGGCTCAGTGGTTAAGTACCCTTGGGTTCAATCCCCCATACAAAAAAAAAAGAGGGGATTGGGGGAGAAAGAAGGAAGGAATGAAGGGAGGGAGGAAGGAAGGAAAGGGAAGGAAGGAGAAGAAAGGGAGGGAGGGAAGGAAGAGAGGAAGGAAGGGATGAGTTGAGATTGTCCTTCACATATTTTGGATATGAGTTCTTAGGATTTCTGTAGCACACATTTTCTCTCATTCTGAGCTTGCCTTTTTTACTCTCTCAATGGTGGTTTTTGTTTTTGTTTTTTGGTGTGTTTTTGGTTGTTTTGTTGAGGAACAGAAATTCTACAACTTAATGTAGTTAAATTTTCCCATTTTTAAAACAAGTACTGCTTTTTGGTTCCTTCTAAATAAATCTTCTCTATTACAAATTAAGATTATACTATCATTAAGAAGTTTTATTGTTTCACCTTTCATATTTAAATTTTCAATCTATTCAGGATTACTTTTTATTTTTGGTGTGAAGTAGAGTTCAAATATTTTTATTTTTTCCCATGTGGATATACCTGTTCTAATATAATTTATTAAAAATGACTTATTTCCTAACCTCTCTGTAGTGCCATATTTGCCATGTATCTTACACATGTAGCTCTGTTTTTGGGCTGCCTATCATAGTCCATTGGTATAATTATCTATACTTGCACCAAAAGTATATTGATTTCATTACTATAGCTGTATAATACATTGAGATGTTTTGTTGAGAAAATCCACTGATCTGATTCCCTTCCTACAGTGTTTTGGTTATTATTGATGCTTTGCATCTCCACATAAATTATAGAATCAGCATGTCAAATTGCAAAAGTAAAAACACTTTGGGATTTTGGTTACAACAACTTTGAAATCATGGATAAATTCAGAGTAAATATTTTTATAATACTGAAATTTCTAACCAATGAATATAATATGCCCCTTCATTTATTTAGGTCTTCTTTAATTTTCTTTATATTGTTTTGGGTATTATATACCTTTTGTTTGATTTTTTTCTAGGAATTTAATATTTTTGGTGCTATGGTAAATGGTATTTTTGACTTTTTTTGTTTATTGACATTTGTATTGACTTTACTAACATAGAATGTAGATTCTTTTTATTTTCTACATATAAAACCACTAATTTTGGATAATGAAATTTTATTTCTTCCTCTTCAATCCTTATGCATTTCTCTGTACTTTTCTATCTTATTGCCATAGCAAGAAATTCCAGAACAATGTTGAACATAGGTGTGAGAGCAGTCTTGCCTTGTTCCTAACGTCAGGAAGTATACTGCTCACATTTCCTCACTATGTATACTGTTTACAGTAGATTTTTGGCAGATAGCCTTTAAAAGATTAAAAAAATAATGTTTTATTCTCTATTAAAAGATTTGTTTTTAAATCATAAGAGACTAATTTTATCAAATGCCTTTCAGAATCTATCTTTTCTCTTTTATTCTACCAATGTGACAATTTTTCAAAACTAAAATAGACATTTTTGGTTTGGTTTTCAATTTTTGCTGAAATTCTCTATCTTATTGTTTACCTCCTTAAACATGGTTTTAAAAATGTTTGAGTTTAGCTGAGCATTGGTGGCTCACATCTGAAAGCCCAAGTGGCCTGGGAGGCTGAGGCAGGAGGATTACAATTTCGAAGCCAGCCTCAATAAGTGAGCAAGGTGCTAAGAAATTTAGGGAGACCCTGTTTCAAGAACTAAAAAGGGCTGCGGATGTGTATCAATAGTTAAATGCTCCTGGTTCAATCCTTCGTACCAAAAAAAAAAAAAAAGTGTGAAGTTTAATTTTGAATTTATGTCTATTTTCAATCTCCATGCTCTTAACCATAATCACATAACCTCTAAAAGGCAGTGCTATTAATATGGTATAACTCAATTTATTACATTTAATGAATATAAAATATATCAAGCTAGATATCACAGCTAATAATAAAATTTAGTAAGACATTACTAAATCACATTACCTGGAAAGACACATAAATTATTTGAATACAGCACAAAATTTCATAAATGCTTACTAAAGAGGCAACAAGGTCTGTTGAAATTTGAAGAATAAAAGAGAGATTAATGATCTAAAAAAGGTTCATGGGGGAGAAAGGACTTCAGCTAGGTCTTGGTTCAGGGATACTATACTCAATACTATTCAACCTTCTTAAAGACTAGGGTCTAGATTCAGTACTTGTTTTAGTAAAAACATACAGGCAAATTAGACAAGAGTACACAATTCTAAGAACAGGAGGTACATAAAAATTTGACTCACCAGTGCAGCCAAATAACGAAGCACCTTGTTGTCATTCATCAGCATTTTAATAACATCTTTTCTTGGAGCTTTTGGAATAAGAGCAAAGCAATTCTGAGCAGAATCTTCAATTAATCCATAACCATTGTAAGGAGGTAATTCCTAGAAATACACAGGAACCAAGAAATAAAGCAGATGCTATTTGTGTTAAAATTATATTAAAGCCAAGCGTGGTGGCTCATGCCTATAATCTCAGCAAATTGGGAACCTGAGGCAAGAGCATCAAGAGTTCAAAGCCAGCCTTAGAAACTTAGTGAAACACTGTCTCAAAATAAAATTTAAAAAACCCAAACACTAAAAGGAGCTAGAGATGTGGCTCAGTGGTTAAACTGAGTTCAAGCCCTAGTACCCACCCACAAAAAAAAAAAAAAAAAATTACATCAAAGTTAAGTTGAAAAAAATCCTCTGGAAAACACTTATTCAAAACCAATTGCTTGGCCTGGGGATGTGGCTCAAGCGGTAGCGCGCTTGCCTGGCATGCGTGCGGCCTGGGTTCGATCCTCAGCACCACATACCAACAAAGATGTTGTGTCCACCGAGAACTAAGAAATAAATATTAAAAAAAAAATTCTCTCTCTCTTTCTCTCTCCTCTCTCACTCTCTCTTAAAAAAAAAAACAATTGCTCTATATACAAATTCAATCAGAAAAAAATAAAATTCCATTCTTCCTTTTTTATGATGTTTACTGCTCACAGAAATGACTAATGATGCTACAATGTAACTGCTAGGGCTAGAAACTATGAGTGATGCCCCCTGATTACTTACTACCAAAGCAGGACCTAATCCTACCCTGCCAGTGAAAATGACCTTATGGTCACCCTAAGATGGTGAGGCCCATGGGTCTCTCTGGTCTCTTTGTTTTAGATGCTGGCCTCAGGATGGCAGATCTGAAAACTCTTTTCTCAGATCACCCGAAGTGTGCATGCATTTCTGTGTAAGTTGTAGGTGGCAAAGGGGTGGTCAGGACTTTATTCATACATTTTTTTCTATTTACCTCTATATGTTTAATATTCTTCTTTCTTTATTTTTGCCACACAGGAGAGGATGGCAGGTATACTTTTTGAGAACTCAGACCCTTTGTCTACATAGAAGAGCTTAAAGCATCATTATAAAATGCTGAAATTTGTTTACCTAAAATCTTAGGTCAGAGACTAAGTTTTCCTCTTCCACATCAATACTAGGCAAACATCAACAATCTTCTTTTTCTTTGCCTCTTTTTTTATCATGTACACTCAGGAAACTCAGCCTATGTGTATGTGAGTGTATGTGTATGTATTTTATATATATATATGCACACATATATATAAATATATAAGTACATATTATTTATATATATTTGTAAATATGCATATATTTAATATAAATATGTATTTAATGTATATATACATATATTTAATGTAAAAAATTATTTATAATATATATTTTAAACTTGCACATGCTTTCTCAAAATCTTTTTATATATTATATTCAGGCTCATTATCAATTAATTCATATAGTCCCCAATTCTAGCTACAACAGGATATTCCCTCAAAAACAAATGACTCCATTATATTCATCTAAGGTATACTAATTGGAATTTCGACCCACTCACCCACTTGTTAGGACTGTAATTAAAGGTATAATAATAGCCAGAATATGACTAGTGAATTCAGCAGGTGGACAATGGCCTAATTTGCTTCAATTGCAAAATCAATACCCAATAAATATTCAGGTTATTGTGACAGAGGGACCTCTGGCTGAGATATGACACATTAAACATCTGAGTTTCTCAAGAGGCCAGTAAGAAATATCAAAGTGGTGGTCCTGAACTTACTCTGCATATGTATCAACATATAGAGGGAACATCCTGATTAGAGGTGCAATCAAGGGTTGAGGAATTTACAGAGAGGCATTTATAGGTCTCTGAGGCTTATTCTCTCAAATTCTTACTTGTATTTTCTGAATCATACTTAATTTCCCCTGAGTAGAGTAATGACATTTCCTAATTCATCATGGCTGGGGTTGGCACTTTGCTTCTTGCACTTCTAAAATAGATAAGCCACTCTGACCATGGGACATCATCATCACTCATAGATTCTCCTATTCATATGACATACCTACCAGAGTTATGCCTGAGCTTTCTTAACCAAACTACTACACTTTGAGCCTGAGATTCTCATATTACTTCAGATATTCTTTTTAGGGACAACCCCAATCAGATTAGCCTTCTTAACACTGGTTCCTTCCTTTTCCTCCAGATGGATCCAGCCAAGATAAAATATATGTGGTCATTGGATCTATAGTTACTTACTCTTGACCTAGCAGAGCAGTTTGACCTAAAAGTGCCTTGATTCTCGAATTAAGTATACCCAGTTTATATTTACTACTGTCCTTGGCCATTGGTTTGGCTCTAGCTTTATCTATCTCAATCCTGCTAAAGCTTCCCATACTTGGTTTCCATTTATGTTGTTTAGAGTTAAAATAAATGATGTGTAATAACCAAGGATGATTCATGTGAGGACTGAAAGGTATTTGCTTCTTGATAACTGGAGCTTTCTTATTCTTCTCTAACAAAGATTTTCAGAGATTGGCAGAGAATTTATTAACATGAGAATTATATATTGTGGAGAAGTCACTAAAAAATTAACCAATGCTATGGTTAATATGCCATATGTATGGATGTTTTATTATATATACAGTTTGTTTCTATTAAACATAGAAGCAAGGAGAAGGGGAGAAAAACAAACTAAAATATACAGTGGTTCTTCTGTTATCTCTGTTCTTTATCCAAGCTTTTCATCCTTTTTTTTTCCTTAAAAGACAGGTTATTGGGGTGGGGGGGTGGAGATCATAGTAATGATTATGAGGGTATAAGGGACAGAGGTAACCTAAGACTCAAAAGCTTTCATTGGATTAAAAGATGGATCAAAGCCTTTTCATTAAGGGAATTACTATGTTGCAGTCCCTGTCCATACTACCTCCTTCTTGTATGAATTTTTGATGTATAATAGAAATGCCTTGTGTCTTACCTTAAGTACCTTAAACTACCATTTTTCCCTGTCCTAATCTAAAAAGTAAAGTGGTAGAATAATTTGTTTCATAAAAATCTAAATCTTTTCCTATGATATTTTCTCTGTAGTACATCAACTTCTGCAAAACAAATTTAGCAACAGATGATTAATTATAATTCTTAATCAGTGAACACTATTTTATGAGTTTTATCAGAGAAAAAACTGACAGCAAAAGCTACCACATTTCCTTCCAGAAATGTTATTGCTCATGGGAACTCATAGTCTACCAAAATCCAAATCCTTCTTTTTAACTGGTTTTATGAAACATTGTTTCTGAAAGACTTGTCTAAAGACATCTGCTGCCTTCCTGGGGAATATATGTTTCCCAGGCAGTCTTCCATAGTCCAGTTCAAAAAAATATATTACATATCTCCTATTTATTAGGCACTGCAATAGGTGCTAGGAGCTGAAAAATGAAAATAATATAGTCCCTGGCCTCAAGGAAGTTATAGTCCAGTAGAAAATATTCATAAACAGAATTTTTAATATAACTGATGAGTGCCAGGGAGGAGGGAGGTATACAATACCCCAAGAGCAGAGACAAAAAGCTTTTATTAGCCTTGACTGGAACTTTAGAGAAGCTTTCCTGAAGGAGAGAAAGCCAACACTGAGTGTTAAAGTATAAAATGAGCCATGTGAAGGGATGATGAAAAAGTGGTTCAAGCAGATGGAAGAGAACAAGAGAAAGTTTGGCAGAATGAAACAGAACATTCTATTTGCAGAATCTCATGTAATTTAGTATGATTATTGGCTAAGTAAAAGTAAGAGAAGAAGGAAATGAGGCAGAAATGAAGGGCCTGGGCTGGAGGAATTCAATAATCCCATCCTTTTATTTATTCCTTTTGAGGAGAAAAAGCCCAATGATGTGGTTTTATGCACACACCAGCAAAATAAATATGGGGGTAGGTATTAAAGTCCTATTTTAACAGTCATAGAGAGATTTGTATGAGGTGCTTCTGTACAAACAGGTTTAACAAAAAGCCAGTTTTCTTAGTTCATGATACAATACCATCTTAATACCTTAGATACTTCTTCAATTTAATATATATGTAATTTTTATAACTTGCAATTTTCTTTTGAAATTCTTTAAAATATGTACTTTGGATAAAATTCTGAAGGTACATGTATATCAGATCACTACTTTGGCACATTATAAGGTGCTATGAACTTATTCTCAGATCAGAGTAGACTTCTGGAATACACAGAATTGTGTGTCCCACTGTGGCTCTAAGAAAGCTATGTTTCAACCAAAGGTCATCTTCCAACATCTTTAATTATCAGTCTTTGTTTTGCTCCCAACCATTTTTAAGTGAAAGGATATGATAAATATGATGAATAGGAAAAGAATAATGAAATACCCTAGGGTATGAAATTTTATAGATGTCTCTTTTTAAAAAAATCAAACTGAATAAAAATATTATTAAATTAATACAAGGGAAAATTTTGGGAAGATGCCAAAGTAGGAAATACCAGGACTCACTCTCTCTACCTAAACAACAATTACACTGCAGAATCTGAGGTAGCAATTTTTAAATTCTGGAGTCTCTTGAACACTTGTAACTTTCAATAGAAGTCCTAGGCAGTAAATTGGTGAATTTTCATAAATTTCAGCTCTTATACAGTAGCAGCTACCAATCCTATACCCCTCAACCCTGCGGTAAGCAGACTACATAACTTGCATACAACCAGCAGGAGCCAGAGGAGGCAAAAAAAAAAATTACTCTGTCCTCCAAATATTGGGGATCTGAGTATGGATCAGTGATGGCTATTTCTGATCACAGAGAATTGACAAACAGGCAGATGGCCATTGTTGTTGCACCTCCCCGCACGGCTACAAGCCATTTCCTCTCAGAGGAAGTAACTCTAAAGGGCTGGTACCTCAATTCCTGCATTTCACTATTCTTTTTCCTCTTTTGGAAGCTTGATACTAACAAGAAGGACATTCAAAAACAACTGCATATACAAGGAAAAAATTTAAATTACTGCATAGAAAATATGCAGAAGAGACTTCAAAAGACCTTTATTTTATACCCCAGGCTGATACTTGACACAGAAACTGCCTACCACAATTGAAAATAAAAGTAATGAAAACATTGAAACAACAACAAAACCCAAGCAAACTATAGAGAAAGAGAAGAATCTGATTTCCGGAGTTCCCATATTATTAAATTTATATGTCCAGTTTTCAATAACAACAAATTACAGGGTATACAAAGAACTAGAAGAGTATGGCCCTTTCAAGTGGGGAAAAAATTCAACAGAGCAAATCCCTGAAAAAAACTCAGATGGCAGATTTATTAGACAAAGACTTTAAAACAACTGTCTTGAAAGTACTCAAAGAACAAAAGGAAGATATGAAAAAAGTCAATAGATGCATACATGGACAAAATGGAAATATGAATTGAAAAATAAAATACCCAAAAAGAAATTATGGAGCTGAAAATTAAAGTTATTCAAATGCAGACTTTAACCAGCAGAAGAATCAGTGAACTTGAAGTTAGGATAATGGAATTTATTGAGTCTAAGAAATATAAAGAAAAAAAATGGGGAAAATGAGCAGAGTTTAAGGTGTCTGTGGGAATATGCCAATATATGCAGTGTATGTGTCTTAGGAAGAGAAAAGAAAGAGAAAGGATAAGAGAGAATATTTGAAGAAAATAATATTTGGAAAGTTTCCAAATTTGATGAAAGCTATGAATAAAAATATCTTATGAGCTTGATAAACAAGTAAGATAAATTCAAAGAGACTCACACTGTAAGACATATTATAATCAAACTTTCAAAATACAAAGATAAAAAGAGAATCTTGAAAGTAGCAAGAGAGGGTATCTTGTCACATACAAGGGATCATCAATAAGACTTTCAGCAAGTTTATTATCAGGAACATTGAAGGCCAAAAAGGCAGTGGGCAAAAAATATTCAAAAGAACAAAATTTATCAACCAAGAAGTCAATATGCAGCAAAGACGCCCTTCAAAAATGGGAGAGAAATTAAAACATTCTAGACAAACAAAAGTTGAGGAAGTTAGTTGCCACTACAACTGACCTGCACCTTCAGGGTTAAACGAAATTAAAGGATGCTATGTAGTAATTTGAAGATGTATGAAGAAATAAAGATCTTGATAAAAGTGAATACATAGAGACTCATTAAGAGACTAATACATTACATTTAAAAAATTGTCTAAAAGCTAGTATTATTGTAACTTTGATTTGGAATTTCCTGTTTTCTACATAATTTATGAGGGTTGGGGATGTGGCCTGGTAGTAAAGCACTTGTCTAGCATGCATAAGGCAAGGCCCCAGGTTTGATCCCTAGCACACACATACATACACACAAAACCACAATTTAAAAGAACTATTTAATACCATGAACTTCTAAGTGGTCAAGATGGTATGCTGGTGTGCATTTGAGCACAACAAAATTAAAGCCAAACATAGGAGTATAAAAAGGAAGTTTTCTGGTCATCTGCACCTCCACATTCCCACATGTTGAACCAACTGCCATTAATAATATAGCTGACATCCCTCCAGGTCTTTTCCTCAGTATATATAAGCAGATATTATATAGGGAAATTTACAAAAATAGGATCATGTTATAAATATAAATACACTTACAATGTATTATGCACATTGGACAATGTTAGTACACACAGACTTAATTCCTCTTTTACAGGCCTTTAAGTCTTCTAATTATATGGATTTAACATATCTTAATTTAAATTGTCAATCGCCTTATACTTTATTTCACTATAAAACACATATCTCTTTGTCTTCAAAAACATTTTCTAGGCCAAAAATATATAACATTTTATTTTTAAAAATCAAAATGATGACAAACCACCCTTCAGAAAAATTATTCTGATTGGCTTTTCTATTAATAGTACGTGAAAATTCACATGCCTTCACATGGGCAAAGATTGGATATTGTGAATATTTTTTAAATTAGACAGACTCAAAAACATTATAATTTTCAATCCATTTCTTTGATTATTAGATTGAAGGTCTTTTCATGTGTCAATTGGCCACTTATATTTCTTTTGTGAACCTCTCTATTGCATATTCTTCATTTGTTTTTTTTTTAATTGAGCATTCATATAGGAGTTCTCTTTTAATTTTTTTCAATTTCTACATAAAGTATTTTTTTTCTTACCATACTCAGAACTACTACTATTCTATTACCTGTTTTACAGGAGGTGGTTCCTGCTTGCTCACATCAATGCGTGGTAAATCAGAGATTCCAAACTTCTCTTTGTAGAACTGTCGAGTAAATGGATCACAATCATAAATGAAAAAATTTCTCCCAAGGATAGTGAGTGGTTTCCCAACAATAAAGTCTTTGGCGGTGTACCATTCCAACACCTCTTGATCAGAGATTTCCAGCACACACTGAGGGAAGTTCTCTAACATAAGGTGGGATTAAAGAGAAAAGAGGAAGGAATGAGCATAAGGGGTAAAAAACCCTGGCACATGAGTTGAGTATTCTTGAGAACCTGGGGCTTACATTCTCACAAGGTTGTATGTTTCCATCTATTGACAGGACACACAAATAATATCCCAGAGGGTTTTTATAAAGTCTTTCTCCCAAATGCAGCTGGAATATCACTACAAGTCACTAAGCTTAGCAAAATTAATGCTTAGAAGAAATCATTACAGGAAGAAAGAACAAATGTCCTTCTCTATAAAACATATAAGATGATCTTAATGATGAGGAGGGATCCAACCAAATGAAGTACAACTTCCCACTCATTTATTCATCCAACATTTATTAGTGACTAATTATACATTAAGTGTAACACTAAGTATTGTGATTGCAATAATTGCTAATATAAATATAATTCCTGCCTTCTTGGAGAAAATATTCTGTTTGGGGAGACAGATACTAAACAAATACACAAATAATGATTTCATTTCAGCATAATCATTGATGTGAGGACAGTGTAACCTAGTAGTGGAGGCAGGGTTCAGGGACAATGAATGAGATGATTATAGCAATCTATGCATGAAGGAATTAACAAATTTTTAAATGTAAAATCAGTATTGCATTTGGGATATATTTACTGATTATTAGTTATGGAAATTCATTGAGACCTGGGTTTCAAAATCAGTCTTTTCAGAATGGATTTACATTTGCTTTTAACAGGCAAGTGTGGGCATTACTAAACCACAACATTATTAATCTAAATTTTCAATTTTGGATTCTGGGAACAAACAGAATATGTAAATTCTGACTCCAAATGTGAGAATGTTGGTTTGTGGGGATTTCTTTGGAGGATTCTTTTTTCCCATTCTGTTCAGAGTCAAGACCTGAAGAAGAAAGTAAATTTTTAATTTACGTTGGCAGAGTGGTTCCCCCATGATAGTTCTAAGATCCTTCTAAGATCCCAGCTTCATAGGTAGAGTCCTGTCTTCTTACCCTATTTATTCCTCCTGGCCTTTTCTCCTATCTTCCTGTATATCCCTGCACAAACTCCACATCTAGTATTTGTTTCTTTGTGAACTGATGTTTTTTACCTCACTTCTTGCCTTTAAGGGCTCTCTTCCTTTATCACCATCTCTACTATGCCAGGTTTAAAAAAAAGAGCCATATTTGTATTTGAAATTATAACATATTAGGGTTTCTATAAATAAACAATCTATCATATTACTGAAATGAAAGTTTTAGGATCTGCATTATGATAGGTAATTTTAGTATACAGAGCCACTAATATTATTTCTAAATGAAACATTATCACATGATATTGTGAATTCATGCGATTGGTGTGTATTTCTCACAGGTTATAAAGCCTTTGAGATATGGCCTTCTATTAGTTTTAGATTTCCAATACCTAGCACAATATTTTCTTCACCCATAAGTATATTAAATTAACATTTTCAAATGATGGAATGAGCTATTAAACATGCTCAGAGAAGTGAGGAAAAACATTCAACTTTCTGGAGTACTAAAGGTCCAACTAAGAGGTATTCCAGATTTATTTAAAAGATAAAACTCAAGTACAGAAGTTAGTCTAAAGAAAAACACATTTTCAGAACCTTGCATTCAACAGTTGAACAGAAGGCTTTTAGTAAGCCAAATACACATTTGACATTACCGTCAAACAATTACCTTCAACAATGAAAGAACTTTCAGAATCTTGATACTTCAGTTATGTCCATCATAAATATATAATTTTGATTCATCTCAATGACTTAAAAGAAAGCCCTGGTTTAGAGAATTTTTGAAAGACACTTCTATGGCTGTGGCTGTGGCTCAGTGGTAGAGTGCTTGCCTAGCATGTGTGAGGCACTGGGTTTGATTCTTAGCACCACATATAAATAAATGAATAAAATAAAGGTCCATGAACATCTAAAAAAAGATACTTCCATAATTTCCTATTATACTTGGCCCTCATTGTTCATTGTTTCTGTATCTGCAGATTCAACACATGCATATTAAAAATATTTTTAAAAATATATAACATCTGTGCTGAATGTGTACAGACCTTTTTTCCCTGGAATTATTCCCTAAATAGCCATTTATATACCCTTTACATTGCACTTGGCATTATAAATAATGTAGAGATTATTTTAAATATATATATGATGATGTATGTAGTTAATATGCAAATATTATGCTATTTTATATAAGGAGCTCGAGCATTGTGGATTTTGATTTCCTCAACAGGGTCCTGAAACCTATCCCCTTGGATACTTCTTTATTTCTGTAGTGTCTGTTGTGATATTTCCTTCTTCATCAGTATGTGAGTAATTTGAGTTTTCTCTCTCTTTCTCTTCATTAGCATGGTTAAGGGTAGTCAGTTTTATTTATTTTTTTAAAGAACGAACTTTTGTGTTGTCAATTTTTCAATTATTTCTTTTGTCTCAATTTTATTGATTTCAGCTCTGATTTTAATTATTGCCTGTCTTCTACTGCTTTTGGTGTTGATTTGTTCTTCTTTTTCTAGGGTTTTGAGATGTAATATTAAATCATTTATTTGTTGACTTCTTCTTCTTTTAGGGAATGAACTCCATGAAATGAACTTTCCTCTTAATACTGCCTTCATAGTGTCTCAGATTTGTGTTCTCATTCTAAGAATTGTGTTCTCATTCTAAAAAGTTTTTAATCTCCTCCTTAATGTCTTATGGAACCCATTATTCATTCAGTAGCATATTATCTAGTCTCCAGGTGTTGAAATAGCTTTTATTTTTTATTTTATCATTGATTTCGAATTTCATTCCATCATAATCTGATAGAATGCATATATATATATATATATATATATATATATATATATACTTTTTTATATATGCTAAAAGTTGCTTTGTGGCATAATATGTGGTATATTTTAGAGAAGGATCATGTGATGCTGAGAAAAAAGTGTATTTGCTCATTGAAGAATGAAATATTCTATATATGTCAGTTATGTCTAAGTTTTTAGTTGTATTATTGAGTTTTATAGTTTCTTTGTTTAGCTTGTTTGGCAGATATATCCAGTGGTGAAAGAGGTATTTTAAAGTCACTTAGAAGTATTGTGCTGTAATCTATTTGACTCTTGAACTTGAGAAGAGTTTGTCTGATGATTGTAGATGCTCTATTGTTTGGGACATATATATTTATTATTGTTATGTCTCTTTGATGAATGGTTACCTTAAGCAGTATGAAATATCCTTCTTTATCCCTTTTGATTAATTTTTGCTTGAAGTCTACTTTATTTGATACAAGGATGGAAACCCCTGCTTGCCTTTGCAGTCCATGGGAATGGTATGATTTTCCCCAACCTTTCACCTTCAGTCTGTGGATGTCTTTTCCTATGAGATGAGTCTCCTGGAGGCAATATATTGTTGGGTATTTTTAAAAATCCAATCTGCCAGTCTATGTCTTTTGATTGGTAAGTTTAGGCTATTTATATTCAGGGTTATTATTGAGATATGAGTTGTATTCCCAGCTACTTTTGTTTATTTTTGATATTTAACTTGAATTGGTTTCTCCTTCGATTGGTTTTTTTCCCTTAGTGTAATACCTCCCTCTGCTGATTTTCATCATTGTTTTTCATTTCCTCTTCTTAGAATATTTTGCCTAGGATGTTCTATCATGCAGGCTTTCAAGTTGTAAATTCTTTTAAATTTTGATTATCAAGGGAGGTTTTCATTTCATCATCAAATCTAAACCTTAATTTTGCTGGATACAAGATTCTTGGTTGGCACCTATTTTCTTTCAGAGCTTGGTAATATGCTGTTCCAGGATCTCCTGGCTTTGACGGTCTGGATTGAAAACTCTGCTGAGATATGAATTGGTTTCCCCTTATATGTGATCTGATTCCTCTCTCTTACAACCTTTAAGATTCTATCCTTATTCTGTATGGTAGGCATTTTCATTATAATGTGCCTTGGTATAGATCTGTTGTAATTTTGTACATTTGGTGTCCTGTAAGCCTCTTGTATCTGATTTTCCAATTCATTTTTCATGTTTGGGAAATTTTCTGATATTATCTCATTGAAGAGAATGTGCATTGCTTTGGATTGAAACTCTGTGCCTTCCTCTATCCCAATAACTCTTATATTTGGTCTTTTGAAGCTATCCCATAATTATTGGATGTTCTGTTCATGGTTTCTTAATATCTTCACTGTGTGGTCAACTTTATTTTCCAGATTGTATACTTTGTCTTCATTATCTGATCTTCTGTGTTCCAAGTGATCTAAACTGTTGATGATGCTTTTTATTGAGTTTTTTTTTTAAATTTGGTTTATTATTTCCTTCATCTCAAGGATTTCTGATTTATTTTTTTCAAAGTCTCTATCTCTTTCTTGAAGTAATCTTTTTCTACCTGTATTTGCTCCCTTATCTCTCTGTTGGTGTGATTAATGGATGCCTGTATTTGCTCCCTTATCTATTTATTGGTGTCTTCAATTGTTGCCTATATTTGCTCTCTTATCTGTTTGTTGAAGTGACCAATTTTTGCCTATATTTGCTCATTTAGGTCATTCTTTAATTCACAGACCATTTTAATTATGAACATTTTGAACTCCTTTTCTGACATTTCATTAACTGCACTGTCTATGGGTTCTGATATTATAGTATCCTGGTTTGTTTGGGGCACTTTCCTCCCTTATTTTTTCATGTTGTCTATGGGATTTCCTTACTTGCTGTGTGGATCTGAGGTATCACAGTTTCTGCCCTATCATCTTGTAGCATCTGTGCAGATTATCTGTATTTCACCTTGGTGTTGGGCTTCCAGGCACTGCCGGTGTTCCAGGACAGATGATACTGCAATTATAGGTGGCAATAGCAGGAGGTAACTGAAGATAGTAGTGGAAGTGCCCCAAGATGAATACAATGTCTTTCAGAGATGGGGCTGAAAGGGTGGGCCTTATACTGGCTTTGGGATTCCTGCTCCAAGATGCAGCTGCTTCTAGGCCCTCTCTGTTGTCCAAAGTAGAGGCTACTGCATGGAGAAGGCTCTGGGGATGGCTGCAGTATCTCAAGATGAATGTAGGTTAGACCTGGGCTCCCAGGTGATGGTGGGAGTGTGGCAGACCCAAACTTATCCTGGGCCCTAGCTCTTGCATAGGTCAGACAGTTGGGTCAGAGTTGGGCCTAAGCTCTAGCAGGTATCTGCTAGGGATGGGATGAACTTGGGCCTACCCTGGGCCCCAGGTCCTGCACAGGTCAACAAGGCAAGTCTGGGCTGAGCCTGAGTCCAGCAGTATCTACTGGTGTGCAGAGGTAGTCCTGGGCCAAGCCTGAACTCTGATTGGTGTCTGCCATTGATGGGATGGATTTGGGCCTACCATGGGCCTGAACTCCTGTGCAGGTCAGCGAGGCAGATCTGGGCTGAGCCTGACTTTGGTGGGTGTCTACCAGTGGGCAGAGGTGGTCCTGGGCTACGCCTGAGCTCTGGCAGGTGTCTGCTGGTCACGGGGTGGTCTCAGGCCTACCTTGGGCAAGAGCTCCTGCATAGGTCAGCGAGGCAGATCTGGGCTTAGTATATACTTTTTAATACATTGCTTCTTCCAATCCATGTACACAGGATGTCTATTTTATGTGTCCTCTTTAATTTCTTTCATCAGTGTTCAATAATTTTAATTTTTATTGTAAAGATCTTTCACCTCTAGGTAGGTATATATTCCTAGTTGTTTTTGTGTATTTGGTTTTAGTAGCTATTGTAAATAGGATTGCTATCTTTGTTTCTATTGCAGATAATTCACAGTGGCATATAATGCTAGCGATATTTGTATATTTATTTTATATCCTAAAATTTGCTGAATTAACATTTTAGTTCTGATTTTGTTGTTTTTGTTGGTGGTGTCTTTGGGGTTTTCTACATATAAGATCATGTCATCTGAAAACAGTGACATTGACTTCCTCTTGACCAATTTTGATGCTTTTTATTATTTCTTTCTCTTACCCAGCATTTTCATTGTTAGAGATATTGAATATTATAAATAAATAGTAAAGTGTATGAAAACCAAAAAGAGTGAGAAAGGTTGAATTTTAGAAAATGCTTTTTCTGCATCTCTTGAGATGATCATGTTGTATTTGTTCTTCATTCTGTTGATATGGCATATCACATGTTTTAGTCAGCTTTTTGCTACTGTGTCCAATACCTGACAAGAACAACTTAGAGAAGGAAAAGTTTATTTTGGCTAATGGACTAAAAGGTTCAGTCCTTGGTCTGACAACTCCATAGCCTTGGGCCTGAGGTGAGGCTCATGACAGAAGGGTGTGGAAGAAGAAAGTTACTTGGAATGTGGCCACCAGAAGCAGAGTGCGAGCTTTGCTCATCAGGGAGAATATATAAACCCCACAGTCATGTTTCCAGTGATCTTCTTCCTCTAGCCACACCTTAGCTGCTGACAGTTACTACCCAGTTAATTCGTATCAGTGGATTAATCCACTGATTAATACATAATTCTTATAATCTACTCATTTTACTTCTGAAAAATCTTGCATTGTTTCATACATGAGCTTTGGGGAGACATTTCAAATCTAAAACATAACATGTACATCCTGCATCCCTGCAATGAAAAGCATTTGATCATGGTGAATAATCTTTTTAATGTGCTGCTGGTTTGGGTTTACTAGTATTTTGTTGAGGATTTTTCAATCTATGATCACCAAGGATATCAGCCTATAATTTTCTTATCAGCATAAAGCTGGCCTCATAGAATTTGTTTCAAAGAATTGCCTCCATATCAATTTTTTTAATCATTTAGTTTTCTTTTTGTTGTTATACCCTTGTCTGGTTATGGCATCAGGGTAATGCTGACATCATAGACTGTGGTTAGAATAACTCTTACCTTTTTAGTTTTTTAAAATAATTTGAGAAGAATTGGTATTAGTTCTTCTCAAAGTGTTTGGTAGAATTCAGCAGTGAAGAAATCTGTCCCTAGGCTTTTCTTTAATGGAAAAATTATTACTAATTCATCAACTTGTTACTTGTTACTGGTCAGTTCAACTTTCCTATTTGTCATGATTCAGTCTTGATAAGGTGCATGTGTCCAGGATTTTGTCCATTTCTTGGCTATTAAGTTTGCTGGGATATAGTTGTTCATAATTCCTATGATCTTTTATATGCCTGTGGTATCAACTATAATGTCTCCCTTTTCATCTCTGATTTTATTTGTGTCTTTTCTCTTTTTCTTGGTCAAGCTAAGTATTGTCAATTTTTTTTTTAACATTCTTAAAGAACCAGCTCTTTGTTTCATTGATTTTTTTTACATTCTTTTAAGTGTCTATTTCATTTACTTCTTATCTTTATTCTTTCCTTCTACTAATTTTAGGTTTTGTTTGATCTTTTTCTTCTAAATCCTTGAGATGCAGCAATAGTTTGCTGTTTGAGATCAGCATAAACCAGGGAATACCTCAAAAAGGTAGTCCATTCTCCCCAATTCTCTCCCATGGGTCAAGGTAGGCCCACATGCCTCATCCATAGTCACTGGCCTGTGGTCCAGCACCGTAGGATTCTGACTCTGGTCAGAATCACTGTAAAGGACTAACCCCAGACTCCTCTGCCACTAATGTGCAGCATTTTTGACTGAATGTGTACCATGTGTAGTATTGTTCTGCGTGGGTTTCACATTATATAAATTTTAGTGCATCATTTTGTTCTCTTTCTTTGTTTTTTAGACAGCACTCTTTTTTAGATCCATTCATTTGCTCTCTGTGTACATCTTGTTTATTGCTTCTCACTAATTTATAGTAATCAAGGTGCACCTTCACCACATTTTATTTATCTATATTCACAGGGATAAAAATCCTCCAACTCCTTGCTCACAAAAAAACACTGCATTAAGCAACAACACTGTACAGGCTAAGAAATACATTTGGGTGGGTTGAATTTAGCCTTTGCACTGCCCAATTTGTTTACAGCCACTAATCTAGTCAAACCTCTTGCTTAATACCTAGAATTCCTTATCTCCTAGTTCCAAAAAACATAGTAAAAAGAAAAAAAAAATCAATGAACACATTTGCAAAATTGTTTCACTCTCAAACAATGGAGATGCTATTACATGTGACCAAGATGACATTTTGTAAGAGAAAAGTCTTTAACTGCTAAGTCAATAAGTAAAGCAAGCCTACTTATCCTAGGAAATATTAAACAGCAGGTACCCATTACCATTTTGTTGCCTTCTTACCATTCGACATGCAAGGTGTTATTTTAGACCAGTGAAAAAAGAGTAGGTTCTGAGCAATTGGATCCCTCCCTCTGAGTTACAGACATGTCTTTCCTAATCTCAAATTAAATCACAGAAACTTCCTATTTACAAATTAGTTGAGATGAGGAGCAAAATCAGGAAAGCATATAAGAAAATGCTAAGCTAAGTTACATCCTTAAATCAAAAGTACTGTTTAAAAAGTACAATAAAAATCCATTATTAAATCACTTCAGTTCAGAAACCTATTCCACTTTTCTTTAAATTAATCTCCCACTGCTATTTTTGTTTGGTTTCCTTGATCTACATATCAGTCATCTCTACCAGATTGTCTGGGAGTCATGTCTGAATCAAGTTAAAGGTGGGGTATTGTGGGAAAGCCATTTGCTAAGAACCATTTGCTAAGAAAACATCTAGAACTTTTCAAGTATAAAGGAACAACCACACTGAATAAAAAACTCCTTAAAGATTAAAAAAAAAGTCCTCAATAACAGGATAATTTGAACATACTTGCATTCTCTGTCAAAACCTTGGGCATACGCTGACGGTTCATCAGGAGTGGGAAAGGATCTCTCCCATCATTCCGTTCATGGACCTCTCGAATCTCCACTGTATCATCCATTAGATAGTAATGAATGATATAGGTCCGACATTCACCAAACATACTGTCTGTATCATCCCAGATTGCATAGAATCGAAGAACCTTTGTGGAATCCAAAGTAAAAACTTAAGTAAGAATTCTAAAACTAGAGAGTTTAACTTACTTTGGCATTATACATGAGACAATGATGAAATGATTATCTGGAAAGATTGATAATTTCAGATGGTAAATGGAAAAAAAAGAAATATTAATCAAAGATCCTAAAACATCTTGGGGTACCTATCAGATGTTAATAGCTGGAGAGAAGAAAAGGCTTATTTGTGCTAAGAAGAGCTTACTTTAACTCAAAATGTTCATCAATGAAAGAGAAGCTGAATTAAGAGAGCAAAGAGGTACTCTATACAGTGGCTTACATAAATCAATAAAAATACATGTGAATGGTTGATATATAATTAGTATGAAAAGATGGAAAGAATTTTCATCTATTAACCATTAACCAGTCTATTTTTTTTCTGGTTCTATTAGCACACATCTTTTAATAATAGTATCAACATAATCTTTAAATAGCAAGTAATAACAGATAATGACTAATATAAAGAAAATCCTTAAAAGATGACCATAACACTAGGTATAATCTTCTCAACAAAAAAAAATTTAACTTCTGGGAGAGGTGGGAAAATAACCAAGTATTGAGGATAATTTTTCTCTTTTCACTTTCTCTTTACTAGGGAAAGAAGATTCAATCAATTTACACACTTGGACTTACAAGGAAAAGAATTAGGAAGGTTGGAACAAAGAGTCGGAAAATGTTCACAATATTCTGTACTCCAACATTAGCATAACATTTAACAAGGAAGCATTTACACTGAGGTTTTTGTGAAATTAACTATTTTAATATTAGAAACTAATAAATATGCAACGGCTTTGAAATTTCCCAATAATCCACTTCAGGTTTTCCAAAAAGATTCTATGAGATTAATGCATTTTAGGGGAAAAAATGGTCAACTGAAAATGTAAAGTGGGAGTAGATGTAGCTCAGGAATTTTTTAAGATGTGAACATATGTTGAGATTCACAAAACTTAACTCCACAATATTCTTTTGATCTCTAATAAGAAACTTAGCCATTGGCATAACTCTAACCCTTCATGAAACCAAAAAGACAGCACTATATCCAAATGGTTAAATTATAGATATAATATTTTAAAATCATTACCAATAAAGCTACTAAAACAGCTTGCCAATAAACACATGTGCCATATTTTGAAACAAGTACACCTTCTTTCCCAGGTCACTTACCTGTTTATCAAAGGTGAGAAACTGCTTAAGTTGATCAAAGTCCGATGGGGTGACGTACTTACGAGGAGGCTGTTTCCGGAGTTCAGTGTAAGGATCAAGAGCCATTTTTTCTGGTGGATTTAATTCAATTCCTTGACTTTCCAAATATACCTAAATATTTCAAAATTAATAATGATAATTTTTCTTAGAGCTTCTTGGAATAAGTAATAAACTGATAATATAAAATAGGTGCAATGATAATACATATGCCATTATGCAAATTACCCACTAGTTTGTAACTTGAGCATATCATAGAAATATTATCTTCAGTAAACTTTATGGTGATAGAAATAATAACTTATATTTACCCAAAGTATTCCATATTCTATAAAATTAGTAGGTTATTTGCTAAGTTAGTTGGGAGACATAATGGTAAGGTAACTGGATTCAAATATGAATTTAGATGAATCAAGTTAGGTGCTCAAGAGAAGAGTAAATCCTAGAATTACTTTGTGTGTATTTTGCTTCAAAACACACATCTGGAACTTAATTATGTTTTCAATAGTATGCAATTCACATTTGGTGTGAAAGCAAGCTGTACAATGGCTAAGATAAGATGAAATCATATCTCAACTTTCCAATTTACTTAAAACAAGTATATTATTAAATTGATCCCTCTCACCAAAAGGAAAAGAAAGCATACCCACTGGTTATTTTAGACCAAAAAATGTTTTAGCAAAATAGGAAAGATAAATCAAGTGTTCATATCTCACTAGAAAAAGTCAATAAAATCAACTGAATTTGATAAGATCCTCAATTTTGTTTTTCTAATTACAAATACAAATATTATTTTCTAAGTAATTTTCTTTTGATACGACTTGACATTCCATCTTTTTAAAAGTATAATAGCTGAGCATGGTGATGCACACCTGTAATCCCAAAGACTTGGGAGGCTAAGACAGTAGGATTGCAAATTTGAGACCAGCTTAGGAAACTGAGTGTGATGCTGTCTCAAAAGAGTGAAAAGGGGCTGTGGATGTAAGAGCACCCTTGAGTTCAATTGCCAGCATAGGAAAAAAAAATCTGGGATATAGCTCAGAGGTTCAAGTCCCCCAGTTCAGAAAAGAAAAGAAAAAGTACAATATGGTGCTGGGGTTGTGGCTCAGTGATAGAGAGCTTGCCTAGCATGTGTGAGGCCCTAGGTTCAATTCTCAGCATCACATATAAATAAAGGTCCATCAACAACTAATGAAATATTTTTTAAAAAGAAAGAAAAAGTACAATAAACTGTACCTTAATTAATATCAGAAAGGAATAGGACATTCTTGAACTGGAAATTACCAAAAATAATTTTGAGAATCATATAACTTACTTTTGGACAATTCAATAAAAAAAATATAGAATACAGGGCCATGATACATTGGTTTGAGTGTTAGCTCTACTGCTAACTAGCATGTGAAGTCAGTATTAAGTTTTATTAGATATGATACCAATCTCATTTCAGTATGAAAATATTATAATCTTAACTTCCACTAAAACTATTGAACTAAAGATAATAACTATAAAATTTTCTCTTGAAATGAAGCATTAGTGTAATACAATTATTGACTGAAGCATTTAATGGGTGTTTTACTCTCTTATATTACATCCAAGAGAAGCAAGCCCTTTTTTAAATTTTACCTTAGCAATTCTGGCAGGAACATAGAAGCTTCCTGAAGTTTTCCTATTTTTTAAAGAAGCCTAAACTCTTTGAAGATATTACTCTAAAATGTACCAAGAAGATAAGAGAAAATGAAATAATTTTTGAGGCAAGAAACAAGAAAGCAGGAAGTTTCTCCAGATTAGAAAATTTACAGGTTGGTAGGCCTCAAACAAGCAGTGCTCAGTGTCACTTCTCTGAAGTACACATGTAGCCCCAGACAGGCCATCCAATCTCAGTTATTCTGAGATCCAGGATCTTACTAGTACCAAAGCATCAGGGAGGTGCCCTTGGTCTCTGGACAGTCTATGGGCCCTGCCTATATAATCCTTTTGGCCTAGGAGTGGGTCTGTTTTCTTGTTGTTCTTAGGGCTTGGAATCTTGGCAAAGCTGAATGATTAGAAACACTAGCTGTTATAGATGGAATGTTTACGTACCCCCCAAATTTCATATGTTAAATCCCTAATGCTCAACATGACTCTTCGGAGATGGAGCCTTTATGTATGTAAGTAGTTAAGGTTAAATGAGGCCAAAAAAGGTGGGGCTCTGATCCAATAGGATTAGTCAGAAAAATAAAAGTACTTCTGTGAGTATTCACTTGTGCCCATGCTCTCTTTCCCTCTCCTTCTCCATGCCCATGCACTAAGAAAAAGCCATATGAGGGGCTGGGGTTGTGGCTCAGAGGTAGAGTGCTCGCCTCGCATGTGTCAGACCCTGGGTTCAATCCTCAGCACCACATAAAAATAAATAAACAAAATAAAGATATTTTGCCCATGTACAACTAAAACAAATATTTTTTAAAAAGATAAAAAAAAACATGTGAGCACCAAAGAATTGGGCTGTCTGCAGGCCAGGAAGAAAGCCTTCACTAGAACCCCTCCATTATCTAGCACCATGAGGAACTCCAACTTCTAGCCTCCAGAGGAAATAAATTTATACTGTTTAAGCCACCAAGTCTACAGTATTTTTGTTATGGTAACCTCAACTGCCTAACATACCAGCCAAATTAGACTGCGGCTCAAGTTGGTTTTATGTTATTATTTTAGAAATAAAACAATACTTCTTGCACATAAGCATTGGTGCAGTAGGATTTATACCTGTTACACTAGCAACAATACTCTCACAAAAAATAATATATTCTAAATCTATGATTTCTGGAGATTTATTTTTTTAATGTGTTTAGTCAATTCGGACTGTAGCCCCAAATATTTATTTGGAGCAGTGAGGAGGTGGTGAGAGGCGGTTTCTGGGTCCAAATCATGCCATAAATTCTGGCATTTCTTTTAATACAACTTGAAATTCCATCCTTTTAAAAGTATAATAGCTGAACATGGTGATGCACATCTGTAATCCCAGAGACTTGGGAGGCTAAGACAGTAGGATTGCAAGTTTGAGACCAGCCTGGGAAACTGAGTGTGATGCTGTCTCAAAAGAGTGAAAAAGGGCTGTGAGAGGGCTGTGAAAAGGGCTCTGAGAGTTACCCTCTCAGAGGTCCACCCCTAATGAAGAACGCTAATTAGATGTGTATGTTTTTAGTTATTTATATAATTTTATTTTTTTGCAGTGCTGGAATCTAAGGCCTCATGCATGCTTGGGCAAGCATTCTACCACTGAGCCACATGCCCAGTTCAAACATGTAAGTTTTAAAATGTAGAAATATATACCTCTAGATAAATTCCAGTTATTAAAATACATTGATCCTCAACATTCATGGATTCCATATTTGTGAATTTCCCTACTTGCTAAAATCTACTTATAACCCTAAAATCAATATTTCTTACATGTTGTTGTCATTCACAGACAAGCACAGGTTGCAGAAAATTTGAGTTGCCCAGATGTATACTATCTCAGTGGAAGAAGAAAAGGTGAAGATTTGCCTTCTTGTTCTAGTTCTCACATTGTAGAGAACTAGAACAAGAAGGCAAATTCATTCTCCTTTTTCTTGGTTATTTTGCTGTTTAAAATGGTCTTAAAGTGTAGAGCTTCTGCTATGGTAACCTCAATTGGCTAACACACCATCTTCTCCAATGATGGAGAAAATACATGTGTTACATAAGATTCTTTGGGATGTGAGTTATAGTGCTGTTGGTCATGAGCTCAATGTTAATGAATGAAATATATATTAAATCAGGTGTCTTTGAACAGAAACATACATAAAAAAGGTATATATTATTTGACAAAAATGTTTTGATCCGAGATCAGAAGAAACCTAAACCTGCATTTGTCCCAATAACAATGGTTCAGTATTTATTAATTCAGTGTCTTTGGTGACATTATAGTTATGACTACTTCGCTTCCCTTTAGTCTCTGTATATAGTAAATATTTAATTAAATAAGTTATCAAATAAAAAATCGATGAGTTCATAGGAGTTCAGTGCATGTAATAATCACATTTGGCTTTAAGTAGTATGAGATAAAGGGCATAAAAGCCTTGCTGCTAGAAATTCTTTTAAATTGAAAAAGTTTTTATTGATTTCCTAATATTTATACTCTATACTAAAGAAAGGTCATATCACACATCACATGTATGTATGTGTGTGTATATGTATATATATATATATATATATTTTAAGAAAAGCTAATTTTGCATAAAAAAATCAAAATTTACAAAATAGAGAAAGTGAAGGACTTTTCTTGATATAAAATATTTAAAAAATTTTTTTCAGAAATCCATCAGACAAATTTCCCTCAAATATAACAAAGTATAGTTTAAAAACTATATAAACTACACATAAAAATTTGGGGCTCCTATTTGTTAATAGAGGTGGTACTGTCTTTATAAAATTGAACTTAAAATGTCCAATGACTCTTCCTCTTCCCTACTTCTAAAGATTAACATTAAACAGAGACATGAGGTGGGAGGGAAAGGGAGAGAAAAGGGAAATTGCATGGAAATGAAAAGAGACCCTCATTGTTATATAAAATTACATATAAGAGGTTGTGAGGGGAATGGGAAAATAAACAAGGAGAGAAATAAATTACAGTAGATGGGGTAGAGAGAGAAGATGGGAGGGAAGGAGAGGGGGGATAGTAGAGGATAGGAAAGATAGCAGAATACAACAGTCACTAATAGGGCATTATGTAAAAATGTGGATGTGTAACCGATGTGATTCTGAAATCTGTATTTGGGGTAAAAATGGAAGTTCATAACCCACTTGAATCTAATGTATGAAATATGATATGTCAAGAGCTTTGTAATGTTTTGAACAACCAATAAAAAAAAAGGATTTAAGATGCATCCGTAGTAAGGAAGATAGATACTGGATTAGAATTAAGGGATTTATTTGGTTTTCTTTTCCCAGAAAACCCAGATTACTTCACACTGAAGGCAGCCACTGCAACTGGTTTCTTACTAAATGATTCAGCTATGGTAGAGCTTGATTTTGAGTGGATCTGTATTAATGTCATTCTAAAAAAAAAATAATGTTACAAATAGCGTTGGTACATATCAACACATAGTACACGAATACTTAAGTTAACCTACATAATAATTCACATAGGACAGATTATCAGTGTCCTCCCATTACCCTAAGAAACGAACTTATCTGGCTATAAGTGAGAATGATGCCTAAGATCCCACAACTTCCACAAATATATAATATACCTGTGTGAAATGGTCACAGTCAACAATGCGAAAAGTTTTGCCATACATGGTTATATCTATTCCTCGATTTAGGTCTTTCCAATGATAATGGTCTCCTACATCATTCTTGGCTATTCGCTGGCGTTTGATTAGCTTGCCTTGAGGGATGCCAGAGTTTTCAACAACAGGCTCCATTACAGATATACTATCATCTTCTAGATAGTAGTAAATTTTCACTTGACGGATTCTATAATGTTCCTCGCTTGATATAGGAACATCTTCCTGGAAATAGGCATCAAATTTCAGCACCTATAATACACAAGGCAAGGAGAAATAGTGTAGTATTAGTTTGTCATTGTCATCTAAAAAATATTAAGTATGTTCCTGAAAAAGAGGACCACACAAGGAGATATTAATACTCATTATTTATTCTCTAAATCAAGAATTGGCAAACTGCAATCCATGACCACACTATAAATCTATCCTGTCACCCTCTTTTTATGACATGTAGGCCTAGAGGGTTTTTTAAAAAACCTATATAAATGGTTGAAAAATTAAAAATATTTAAAATTAAAAATTAAAATATTTTTAATTAAGAAATTAAAAATATTTCTCTTCAGAGAAAGAAAGTATCAGAATGATACTCTAAGTAAACCAGAGAGTTTACCCAAACTTCTACTAAACTCAGAGGAACAAATCAAGAAAACCGTTAAATGAAGACACAAGAACAGCTTGATGAATAGAAAAATAATTCTACACATCAATGTTGTTAGAAAGGGTATAGTATCTACTGTGGACGAACAAGATAAAAAAGAAAGAAAGAAAGAAAACTGGCTGTTGCCTAGGAGAAAAGTAACTACAATGAAATGAAGACCTTAAAACTCATTATAAAAAGGTAAAATGGGTAAGTGTAGTAGAATATTTAAAGTAGAAAAATAGTAAAAACAAAAGACAAAGATAATTAAGTAACATTTGGGGTAAATTATAAAAAATAACAAGTGGAGATATGATCACAGTAATTCAAATATGAAATAGCCTGTATTTGAGCCACAGATTTATAACCATGCAAACTATTAAAACAGAATTGATCAGATAATCCAACCCCATTTATTTTACAAAGAAAACTTAGACCCAGGTTGCCACAGTGACTTGTCTGAGGCCATATGAGGAATAGGATCAGAGCTAAGATTGAAACTCTGTAAGTCTATTGACTCATAGACCAATGTTCTCTCCACATATCTCACTATTTCCTAAATAACAGATAATATTATGGTTCTTAACAAAAATCTGCATAGATGGTCTGAGAAATCTTAACTGAGAATACATATTAGACTTGAAGAGTGAGAAAATGTTAGATAAGCAAAGGGGACATGAAGAGATTTTAGGCAATGCAATAACAGAAAAAGAGGAAGGAAATCCAGAAGCAATCCCAGCAAAAGAAACAATCTGTGAGGTGAATAGAGAGCCCATATCCTAGGAGCAAATTTTTACCCCTCACACATCCGATAGAGCACTAATCTTGAAGATATATAAAGAACTCAAAAAGCTAAGCACCAAAAAAACAAATAACCCAATCAACAAATGGGCCAAAGACCTGAACAGACACTTCTCAGAAGAGGATATACAATCAATCAACAAATATGAATGAAAAAATGCTCATCATCTCTAGCAATCAGAGAAATGCAAATCAAAACTACTCTAAGATATCATCTCACTCCAGTCAGAATGGCAACTATTATGAAGACAAACAACAATAAGTGTTGGAGAGGATGTGGGGAAAAAGGTACATTCATAAATTGCTGGTAGGACTCAAATTGGTATAGCCAATATGGAAAGCAGTATGGAGATTCCTTGGAAATCTGGGAATGGAACCCTCATTTGACCCAGCTATCCCTCTCCTCGGACTATATCCAAAGGACTTAAAAATAGCATACTACAGGGACACAGCCACATCAATGTTTATAGCAGCACAATTCACAAAAGCTAAACTGTGGAGCCAATCTAGATGCCCTTCAGTGGATGAATGGATAAAAAAAAATGTGGCATATATACACAATGGAATTTTACTCAGCATTAAAAGAGAATAAAATCCTGGCATTTGCAGGTAAATAGATGGCGTTGGAGAAGATAATGCTAAGTGAAGCTAAAATAAATCCCCCCAAAACAAATGCTGAATGTTTTCTCTGATATAAGGAGGCTGACTCATAGTGGGGTATAGAGGGGGAGCATGGGAGGATTAGATGAATTCTAGATAGGGAAGAGGGGTAAGAGGGAAAGGGAGGGAGCAGGGGTTTAGCAAGGGTGGTGGAATGTGATGGACATCACTATCCCAAGTACTTGAATTGGGTGTCAATATACTTTATATATAAACAGAGATATGAAAAATTGTGGTATATATATGTAATAAGAATTGTAATGCAAAAACAAACAAACAAAAAGAAACCCAGAAGCAGTATGCAAGATATGCTAGGTATGGTGATAACATTAAAAGCCTTTTCCATGGTCCAGGCTGCATTAATTAGTTATCAACAATGGAAAAGCAGAAGGTAGCTGAGTGAACTGAAAATGAGAAAGGAGGAGGATGGATGACACAGTGCTAGGGATACAGTGGTAAGACCATATAAATTGAGACAAAAAGAAGATAATTTTAACAGGACAGCTGGTGAGCTTGATTTTAGACTGCTGAATTTAAGTGACAGCACAAGTTGACATTGCAGGGGGTAATTTAAGATGCACACCTAAGGATTTGGAAAAGAAATAAACATTAGAGAATAGGCAAGGATGTCTCAGACATAAACAGAATAGATAGAATTAATATCAAACTGATAGTAATGGGTAATGGAGCAAGGTTTTGGGGGAAATTAGGAGTTCCATTTTAGACATGTTTAATTTAAATATCTATTATATATTCAAGAGGAGATATCAAATAGGTTATTATATATGCTATGTTCAGAGGACAGTTTGTCAACATTAGGAGGCCAGTCCAATCTATGAATCTAAATGACCCATCAAAGGAATGAGCACAGAGAAAGATGAAAGACTTATTCTGAGGCCACAACCCTGTTCTTTTTTTTTTCTTTTAATATTTTTAGTTATAAAAGGACACAATATCTTTATTTTATTCATTTTTTTAAATGTGATGCTGAGGATTGAACCCAGTGGCTCACACGGGCTAGGCAAGCGCTCTTCCACTGAGCTATAACCCCAGCCCCACAGTCATTTTTCTTAAACTGTCTGTTTTCTAAAATTGGAAGGCATGTAGATGCATCTGGTGACAGGAACTTGGCCTCAGAATGGGGGGTAAATATGACTATAAAAGAAGTACTTAAGTTTCCTCTGCTATATAATCTACACAACTGGTAAAACAACAGTTTCAATATGTAATTCATGATACAGAAAACCAGGTTAATAAATTAGGTCTCAGGTAAATAATACTCTTAACTTAAAAAGACCTCATTTGTTGAGTGGTAATCAAGAATAGTGTCTGTGCTCCTTCTAGTAAAGAAATCACTGCAAAAGAAGATAATAAGAAAAAAATCTCTTTAGCAGGATTATTAACTAGAATATATAAATAATTCAAAAAACTTAACAAAAACACAAATATTCCAATTAGTAAATGGTCAAATGAATTAAATAGACCCTTCTCAAAAGAAGAAACACAAATAGCCAAAAAATACATGAAAAAATGTTCAACATAATTAGCAATTAGGGAAATGCAAACCAAAATTACATGGAGATTTCATCTCACACCAGTCAGAATGGCAGTCGTCAAAAATACAAATAATAATAAACGCTGAAGAGGATATAGAAAAAAAGGAACAATTTTACACTGTTGGTGGGATTATAAATTAGTACAACCACTATGGAAATCAGTATTGGAGGTTTCTCAAAAGATTAGGAATGAAACCACCATAGCTAAACCCCTCCCCAATATCAACCCTAAAAAATTTAAGTCATCATACTGTACTGATACATGCATAACCATGTTTGTAGTAGCACAATCACAATAACTAAAACATGGAACCAGCCATTTATAGATGAATGGATAAAGAAAATGTGGTATATATACAATGGAGTTTTAGTAAGTCATAAAAAAGAATGAAATTATATCATTTGTAGGAAAATGAATGGAATTTGAGAACATTTTTTAAGCAAAACAAGCCAAACTCTGAAAGTCAAGGGTCATTGTTTTCTCTTCAGATGTGGGAATCAGAGAGGAAAAAGGAAAAGAAAGATGGGGGATAGATCTCATGAAAATTGAAGGGAGATCAGAAGAGTACAGGAAAGAAACCAGGAGGAAGGAGGAAGGAAAGGAAAAGGGAATTATATTGGCCAATCTTATCGTTATATTGTGTGACTGTAAAAATCTGTAACAACAAATCCCACCATTATGTACAACTACAATGCACCATTAAAAAATTTGGATGGGAAAAAAGATATTTAGCAAGCAGTTGGGATAACATCAAGTAGAATAACTTGATGTACTATATAAAAGGGAAGGAAAAATATTTATATTTCAAAATATTTATGTGTTTTAAAATGTATTTTCCATGAACTTTTTATAGCAGCCTGGGCTCCTAGTTATAGATTCTAACCTTCTGAGTTTATAGATGTGTAAACTAGAGATTGTGACTTTCTGGGGTTACAATGCTTTTGGTAGAAGATCAGAATTTGAACTCAGTTCTTCTGATTTCCAGGAAGTGCTCAGAATAACACAAATAAACATGGAAATGTTTGTGTTTGTTTCCAGAAGGAGGAAATCCTGAATAAATATTTCCATATCATATACAATGAAAATAATAAGCCTTGTTACATTCTTTTAATTTTACTCTTACCTATGTGGGTTATATGTTAAGCTTATCAACAATAACAGAGACCAGAAATTAGTGCCATGAGGAAAACAAAGAGAAAATAGATATTTCCTTAGTACAGTGGTCAGGAAAAGCCTCAGGTAAGGCATATGAATGATAAGAAAAGTGAGCCACCTGGGATCAGAAGGAATACCATCTAGTTTGGAGGAATAGCATGTGCAAAGACCCTGAAATGGGGGGATGGGGTGGGGGAAGTTCTGTCACTTCAAGGAAATAAGGAAAAGAAATCCATTATTATTCAAACACAATAGATGAGGGAAAGAGTAAGAAAACAACAGGGAGGGCCATCTAGGCCAAGGGAAAGGAGGAAACTGTACAGTTGAATCTTACTTTACATATGATTGGGAAGTCATGGAACCAGCCATGGTCAATATGTAACATAGTTTAATTTTTAAAAGATAAGCTGTATGGAAAGTGAATTTATAATATTGAAGATAGGAAAACATGGACAGATTAGTTAAAAATAATAGAGCTTATTAATTGATTGGATGTGAGTTGTGAGGAGAAAGAAGGATTAAAGAAAGATGTCTTTCAAGTTGGGGTCAGAGCAGCCAGATTGGTAGTGATGATGTTCACAGTATTCATTAAAGGATCCAGAAAGCATTTTACTAAAGATGTGATAGAATCAAAGTTGTGCTTCAGGGAATAAAGGAGGTGGTAGACCTAGTATAAGCAAATAATTACGTATGAGCCTACATTAACAGTTGTCTAGTTGCTCATTTGAGCCACAGAAGTGATAGAGGAAATGAAAGTGAGACATATTTGACTCAGTAACTCATTGAATATGGGGAGAAAGGCAGAAGAAGGCTCAGATTCCAAGCTCAGATTATCTGGTGAAATTGCACAGGGAGAGCAGATCTAGGGAAAAGGAAGATGGGGTCAATCAGAGGCATTGAAGTGCTAACAGCTCCTCCAGGTGAAGCTATCCCATGGGCAGAAGGACACAGATTAGAGTTTCAACTAGGCCAGAGTTGTCTTAATCGAGGAAAAGGTGAAACTATGAAATGGGGGTGTGTCTCAAGAAGATAGTATAAGAATTAGCACAGAACCTTGAAAATGCTTACAGTGAAGAAGTGACAGGAGGGAGAGATACCAGAGAAAGAGCAAGTAATAGAGAGGAAGAGGAAAATCATGAGAGGAATGATCATAGCAGCAAGAAAAAAGCAGTTTCAAGAAGAGAGGGAGGGTCAACAGTGTCAGATGTTGTAAGCAGGTCAGAAAATATGGGTGAAGTAAACCTCTTTCGATTTGGCAAAAAGGATAATACTAGCTATTCAGGAAAAAGGAGTTTTGAGATTGAGGACAGGGAAAATCAGATTGTAAATTATCTGATATTCCACTGAGAAAGAAAGTTTTCTTGCTTAAAGAAATCACAGAGTAAAAGGAGGTTTTGTTATTACTGTTGTTTCTTAGCTAGAGAAGGATACCATATTTATTTGAAATGAAAATACGAAAGTTGAAGATGAAAAGATGGAAGAAGAGTAACATCAGGTACACAGAGTGGGAAGTTAGCCTGAAATAGAGAATACAATGTGTAATGATAGAGAAAATTACATGGGAACAAGGAGAAAAGATGAGGGGATTCACAGTAGATGTAGAAAATGTCCTATTCTTTATCACCTAAGAAGAAATGAAGTTATATTCTGTCTATGAGGAACAGCCTCAAGAATATCCAAAATATGAACAAATATGTTGGTTATCAATAATGAACCTCCAGCCAGGCACAGTGGCACATGCCTTGTAATCCCTGCAGCTCCAGAGGCTGAGCAGGAGGATCATGAATTCAAAGCCAGCCTCAGCAACAGCAAGGCACTAAGCAACTCAATGAGACCCTGTCTCCAAATAAAATACAAAACAGGGATGGAGATGTGGCTCAGTGGTTGAGTGCCCCTGAGTTCAATCCCTGTTACCAAAAAATAAAAAATAAATGAAAAAAAGGACCTCAAAATAGTCTTTAAAACATTTGAATTCTGATTTAATTCAGAAAAGCCCACAAATAAACAAAATAGTTTCAAAACCATGCATTTAACTACTGTCTATCTCATATCTATGATAAACATTATTTATCTAAAAATCATAAAGATAAAAATAAATAAGCTGGAAAATAAATATGTGAATGTTATAATAATATTATTTATATATACTATCCTTTTTTATTTTTATTTTCCTGGTACTGGTGATTAACCCTAGGGACATTTTACTATTAAGCTAATCTCCAGCCCTTTTTCAAAATTTTAAGATAGTGTCTCACTAAGTTGCCAAGGCTGGCCTCAAATTTTCAGTCCTCTATCTCAGCTTCTGAATTGCTAGGATTTCAGCTATGTGTGACTGTGCCCGGCCACAATACATTTCTTTAAAGATAGTGCCAATGAGCCACACAATGGTGTACCTCTATAACACTAGCAACTTTGAGGATAAGACAGAAGGACTGCAAATTCAAGGCCAGCCTCAAAAATATAATAAGACCCTTTCTCAAAATAAAAAGTAAAAAAGAGCTGGGGATGTAGCTCAATGATAAAGTGCCTCTGAGTTCAATCCCCAGTCTAAAAAAAATTTTTAAAAAAGAATAATATTAGGGGCTGGGGCTGGGACTCAGCAGTAGTGCACTTGCCTGGCATGTGTGGGGCACTGGGTTGGGTTTGATTCTCAGCATGGCATATAAATAAATAAAATAAAGATCTATCAGCAACTAAAAACAAATAAAAATAAAAATAATAATATTAAATAAGCATAAATTAATAACAGTTAACATAAAATAACTAAAAGCAAAAATGCTATTTTCTTATTCAGGCACAAATTTTCCTTCTCTGAATTTCATCAATATTTTCTTATATCACTTTCTACTTTTTAAATTTTATTTTTATTTTTAGTTGTGGTTGGACACAATACCTTTATTTTATTTATTTATTTTTAAGTGGTGCTGAGGATTGAACCCAGGGCCTTGCACGTGCTAAGCAAGCACTCTACTGCTGAGCCAAAACCCCAGCCCCTCACTTTCTACTTTATTATAATCATTTACTATTCTTTTTAGTAAAAATGAACATACAAGAATTTCTTGATAAATTATTAAATCCCTAATGTACCCTTCTCTTGTATTTTCACTTCTCTCTCTTCTATACTGATTTATCAGTGCCTGCTAAGGCTATGAATAAACAAGAAAAATAAGCAAATGGGAATAATATAGCCAATTATATAATTTATAATTTGTTCAGTGCATATTTAGGTTCAGTCCATGAATGGATGTATAACCATGTTCCTAAAATAAGAAAGAGAATTTTTTAGGAGAAAAAAAGATTGGGGAAGAAAATAAAGGATGATGTGGAAATATCAAGAGATGGAAATAAAGCAACTCATACTGCAAAAGCATAAGAGTAAATGAGAAACAAACAAAAATTTTCTATGACTCTTTGGTTATGTAACATTTAAATGTAAAGTGTTTCCTGAAAAACAAAAACTTATAGAGATAGCCTGGAGAAAACTGACAATAGAGGGGGTCATTGTTTTAAAGATGATACTTTGCATTTCATAAAAAATAAACACCTCTCATTGTTGCAGAATACTTTTAAGAAACAGAAAACATAGAGCTGGTAAACATAGGGCAATATGAACTCACTATTCTAGAATTCAACTAACTTTTCTTTAATTGTATCTGCAAATATTCCAGTGAGTTCTACAGGGAATTATTTTCCGTAATCAACTTCCTGACTAAAGAAAGCTTCTTTCAAGCCTGAGTTCAGCTGTCTATGAGTAAGGGTTAAGGCATTTGAACAATTTTCTCCAGAGAGCACTGTGGGAATCCTGTGGTTGACTATTAGTTTTCTGTAGCCAGTTGGCTTTCAGGCATTTAAATTCAAGGGTACCCTAGAATCCTAGGTGATACCTTTTTGTCAAAAGCTACATGTGCTGGAATGAATTCTGCAGGTGGGGCCTGCTTAGGTTGGCCATAAGTCAGAACTGGTGCTTTACTGGCCAATTCATCCAGCTCTGCTGGAGACAGCTGGTTGACCTGTAACCGATCCCCACCTATCCCAACTGTTGGACGTCGAACAACTGCATAGCCGTTCCTGTAGCCCAATGTCTGGCTTCTATGGAAAGATGTTTTCTGGAGAAGAAAAGAAATATGTCATTAATAACATTATATGTTTGTTATATAAAATATTTCTAAAATATTATAACTCAAACCTTTGCTTATAAACATCACAAAACTTACATCTTAAAGTTTACCTACATTAAAAGCTTCTGTATTTTAAACTAAAAGACTTAGGAATGAGGAGGGAAAGAACTACTAGATGTTAAAATTTAAAATCTTTCTCTATAATGCTCAATTTAACTACCAGCTCACCTTACATGAAAGATTAAAATACTATCTTATCTGAATTTTGTTTTTATTTTTGAGACAGGGTCTCACTGTGTTACCCATGCTGGTCTTATATTCATGACTTCAGGTGATCTTTCTCCCTCAGCCTCCTAAGTAGCTGGGACTACAGGTATGTGTGTCCATGCTGGGCTCCTCTATCCACTTAATTTTTTACTAGTTTTTCTACGTTTTTTAATCTTCTCAGTGATTGTGAATCATGGAACCCAGAAGACAAAGGTCTTTGAATTATTTTTACCTGGACTAGAAAGTGCTTTATATTAAAAGCCTTGTTTGTTTTTATGTGCCACACTGATAAATTCATAAAACTCTTTGGAAAGCAACTAGATAGCATGTATTTAAATTCTTGGACTCAATAATTCTACTCTTGATTATTTATTTTAAGGTTATAATCCAAAATTATGGGAAAGAACTATATGCCTCTAGCATCCCAGAGAATGTTATTTACAACAGTAAAACTTTGGAAACAATTTAAAAGACAAACATATGAAGACATGAGTAAATGATGGAAAACTCAGTAATGGACTTTTACACAGTCATTAAAATAATAGCTTTACAGACCACAGAGCAACCTGGAGAAAATGATTTATGATTTAATAAGACTAAAAAAATCATACTACAACTGTAAGCATGCAAATATGAAGAGAAACTGGATTTGGCAAACATTCTTTATACATTTTTGAATTATATTGATTTTTATGTATTTTATTTTTATATATTATATATATACAATGAACATATTCTCAATAGTTAGAAAAAAATAAAGATAAATAAAAAATGAAAGAGTAGAAAAGCAAATTGGATTAATTTTTCCTTTTTCCATTCTTTGTAATATGAGGTTACTTTCAAATTTTTATATGTAAAATACTTAACTACATGTATAATTTGGAATTAATTGCAAAATATATATTTAAGAAGACAAAAGCTGGGCACCATGGTGTACACCTATAATCCTAGAGGCTTGGGAAGCTGAAATAAGATGATAGCATGTTCAAAGCCAGCTTCAGCAAAAGCGAGGCACTAAGCAACTCAGTGAGATCCTGACTCTAAATAAAATGAAAATAGGGCTGGGGATATGGTTCAGTGGTTGAGTGCCCCTGAGTTTAATCCCCAGTACCAAAATACAAAAAAAATAAAATTAAAATACAAAATACAAAAGACCTACTTGTTTATCTTCTAATTTCTTTGAAGCCCTGCCTACCAGTTTTCAAGATCTGTACCAACATGAAAGGTACAACAGAATAAACTTCTCTAGAGTTAGGTACTATGGATTTTCTTTTTCTTTTTCTTTTTTTTTTTTTTTTAGTACTGGGAATTGAACTCAGGGGCATTCGACCACTGAGCCACATCCGAAGCCAATTTTGTATTTTATTTAGAGATAGAGTCTCACTGAGTTGCTTAGTGCCTCACTAAATTGCTGAGGCTAGCTTTGAACTCACAATCTTCCTGCCTTTGCCTCCAGAGCAGCTCCTACCTTTGCCTTCCCAGCACAAGGGTCTTGTGTTTAGTGCCACAAGTCACTTGACATAACTGCTCAAGTGCATAACACACAAGATACAAACCAAAATGGGCTGAATTGATTTCCTCATTGAGTAACTTGTATAGATAGCATCAAGTACCTCTTCTTCTACCTCTAAAGGTAGAAACAATATCAGTAGGAGCTAAAGATATATAGCTCAGTGGTAGAGTGCATGCTTAGCAGAGGCTAGGCCTGGGTTTTGTCCTCAGCAACCAAAAAATAAAAGAGCAACATCAGTGACTTGTTTGCTTTCTTCATTTTCAACAAGGTATCACTATCATCAGCTATGACCCATGGTGCACCCCATGGCAAGGCCTCTCTACCCTTCTCACTCATTATGATTCACCTTCTGAATAGTTTTACTTCAGAGTTATATATACCTAATACTTTGCTGCTGAAGATACAGTGACCATATTTTCAAATTTCAAATAAGGCAAATTTGTGGCCAGTGTATTTAAAACATGAAATATAACCACTGCACAGTTCGTCTTACTTATAGAATGGCAATAAGTATCTTTAGATCCTGGCACTTCCATTCACATCTCTGTAATTCCCCAAATCAACTCAAGCCTGCCTTTAAGCTGAATTCTGAACAGGGTAGTAAAATTCCTATAACATTTTCTAAATTACATAAAACTGGAAACCCAATGAAACTGAAAATCTATGCTGCCGTGTCTTAATAAAGGAGAGAGAACTCAAATTCTCTCACTACACTTTCATTTTCAATTTAAATTTATTTTTCTGAAGAAAATATGTTGACTAAATATTTCACCTTAGCTATGTGAATATGGAGAGGAATTAAGAGTCTAAATTACTAAACTATATGCATATAGATTACCGTTGGCTCATCTATGATAATCAGTATACTGAAACTCAATATTGATTTTGCAGAACATATAATTCAGTAACATTGTTGGAACTGAAACAAATATTAAATAATTTTGTCTAGAAAATGTGACAACAAACACTTGAGCCTGAGGGAAGCAAAACTCAATCTGAACAGGAGCTTTTTACAAAAATGTTAGAGTGAAAGTATAGGGCTGAGGGAAAACGAAAGAGCACTTAACCCATTGAGACTGAGGGGAAAGGGAAATCTACAAAGCAGAGAAGGGAGACGGTTTGGGAAGAAGATAGCAAATTTTGAAGAGAAACCGCAATGGAAACAGAAAGCAAAGATGGACAGAGTGTAGGATTAGACAGTACAAAATGTGGAAGCTGGAGAGAGGAAAAGGATGAAGTTGCATAGAAGCTGAAACGCGAAGGGCGGAGACTATGCGAAAGGGCCTGATGGAAATAAGTGGATAGAAACCATTTACATCCAAGACAGGAAACGGAGCTGGGAATGTAAAGTTTAGGATCCAGGATTCCGAATAGGAAGGAGGCAGGGCGAGAATAACGGGTCTGGGGAAAACGGATAGGATGAGGATGAAGGTGGAGAGATGTTGAGTGGGCGAAAGGAAGGAGGCTATCGGAGGTCAGGGATGAGCTGAGCAGAGACACGAGTATGGTGTGAGAGAAGGACCTAGGGTGAGGACCTAACGGGAGCTTGGGAGTAGGGTGTGGTGAACTGATTTAGACGAAGAAGGGGAAGGTTTGAAGGAACAGAGCAGTACGAACGCAACTAAGGAGATGAGAACGAAAAAGGGATCAGTGCAAAAACTGAAGAGAGGGATGGAGGGGTGGCAAAGGATACGGGAGAGCGGATGAGGCTGTGTGGAAGAGAACAACAGAGCTGCATTGAAGAGAGAATTCGGGGCAGAGGACGGGTTTGACGCGGGTGGAGAATGGAGGGGCTCTAAGTGGGAACCCATCTAGGTATTCGGAAGGCGGGGATAGGTGGGGGTGGGCACACAAGTCCTCACCGTGGGGTCCTTAAAGGACGTGCCCGGGAGAAAGGGCAGGCCATGCACAGGGTTAGACACCATCGCTGCCGGTGTGGCCGCGGCCAGCTCGGACAAGCTTTGTCCTTCCCGGTTGCCCCGGCGACAAGCAGCGTCCTCTGGCCTGGGCAAGCTCCATGGTAACGCCAAACAGAGCTCCCGCCAGCGAAGGTGGGCGGGACCTGAAGCGCGGACTTGACAGGTCTGCGCGTGCGCCGCTCGGGGCACTCCGCGTTCTCGCGGTAATGTGAACTGGGACTGCAGGGTGGGGTCCGTGGGCCTAGAGGAGGTGGCCCCGCCCCTTCTGCCTCACCCCGCCCATCCTCCTCCCCGGCGCCCAGAAGTTGCAATGTGGAAGCTGATGGCTGGGTGGGAAGAGATGGGTACAGTTAGGCAAGCGTTGGCTCGTGCAGCGAAGTCTAGGGTGGAAGCACGTCTTTATATAAACTGCAGAGGAATGGATGGACGTTCCTTCCTTCCCTCCACCCCAGTCGTCGCCAAGCTTGTACCATGAGTTCAGGCGCTCTTTTCTCCCTACTCTGGGAAAGGGCTGCTGTCCAGATTCACACAGAAGTGTAAATGGTTGGTCCGAGTGAACGGTGTTAATTACCCCAAACTCCTGCTTCTTGAGCGCGGGGGCTGTGGATTATTCATAGTTGCATTTCTGTTACTCAGGGACGGCCAATGAACTAAGAAAGCCATCTCATCCCTATCTTCCACTGCTGCATTATTATTATTTTAACCCCCTCAGCTTTCTTCATTCTGCTGTCAGTTCCTGACTCTCAGCGTACTTTCCATTCTTTCAGGCCCCATCTTACATATTTGCTGTAGGTCTCAGTGCACTAGGATAGTGCCGAAAATTGAACTGAAAAGATCTCTCAATTTCTGGTTTATAACTGCAGGAGCAATGAATAGATGGGAACCACAGCGGGGAATGCAGTTCCTTCAAAGAGAAAGACTGAGTCCTGAGAATAAGCAAGTAAATTGAATGAGGGAATATATTTTCTTCATCATAGATATTTTTGTATTTAGTACTTTTTTTTTTTTACAAAACTTCTTTAGATTATTTTTCTTTAAAAGAAATGTAATCCTATTCCCAAAAACATTTCAGGAAAAAATAAAGATACATTCACACTGAGGAGCTTAAAAATAAAAATAAGCAAACATATTTCAGGTGCCCAGAGATTTGGATTCAGTAGGTCTATAATGGAGCCCAAGAGTCTGGTTTTTATAACAGGTGTTTCTGACCAGTCAATTTAGGAACATGACAGAATAGTAAGACTGACAGGGAAGGCATATCTCGGGGTCATTAGTTTACTGCTAATACAGACAGCAGCTTTACTTTTATTGCTGCTTGTCAGAGCAAATCCTGTTAGTGTTCATCCTTTTGGTTTTCACTGATTGGTGTGAAGCACAGGGGACCCAGAACATAAATGCACTAAGTGGCAACTAAAACAGTTATTGGTACCCGGCCCAAAAAGTTTCTTTATTACTAACTCTTCCTTTCCTGTTTCCTGTTCTTGAACTTTTTTTCTTTAACTCCTTTATCCTTTTCTGTTGGTACAATGTTAACGTAATGAAAGGAGTTTTAAAGATTTAGAAAAAATTTCCATGAAGGCTGGGGTTGTGGCTCAGCGGTAGAGCGCTTGCCTCGCATGTGTGAGACCCTGGGTTTAATTCTCAGCACCACATAAAAATAATAAGTGAAATAAATGTATTGTGTCCAACTACAACTAAAAAATAAATATTTTTTAAAAATTTCCATGAATTGATTTGCATTCCTAAAATTATTGAAAACTTCAGACATACCTGTTTATTGCATTTTATCTTGGCCATTGACCTAAGATGGACACCAACTAATAGAAGAATTATTCAAGATGGCAAGTTCAACCTTTCAAAATGAAAGTGCCCTGTCCCACTTCTCTCTACCTCATTGATGCTGAACACCCGGATTCACTGCTAACTAATTTTCACTGATTCTTCATGATAATCTTAAACTCTTACAAGTTATATGATCCCTCCCTCCCAGTTCTCTTAATAAAAATAAATTCCCTGGCATGAGGATACACTTAGAAATGTCCTTCTTACCTAACTGCATGGTTATACTTAGATATATATTCCCTGGGTTGGATAGGGAAGGAGCTTGTGGGACTGGAGGGTGAGTCATACCTAAGTCCATTGTTCATTATTGCATTTGTTTCTATTTGAGGAGTGCTTTCTGACAGGTACCTATCTATTTCAGAAAAAAAAATGTTAGCTACATGGTTAATGGAGTGTGTTTTAACTACATTTGAACTCCAGAAGTGCATAGGTGAAGAAAACTTGTTATTCTGTGGCTTCATAAAAATGCCATCCCCTTTGAGAAGGGTAAACCAGGTAATGTTGCTACTATAGTTTGAATATGGTTTCTCTGCTCTGAAACTCATGTTGAAATTTGCCATTGTAGCAGTATTGGAAGGTGGAACCTTTAAGCGGTAATTAGGTCAAAAGGGCTTTGCCCTCATGAATAAATTAATGCCTTTCTCTCATGACTGAGGTTTCACTCTCATAGGATTGAATTGGTTATCACAAGGACTGTGATAAAATGAGTGCATCTCATGCTTGTTTCTTCTGCTTGTCCTTTGTTTTTCCAAATGCCAGGAAGTAGCCTAGGCCCTCACCAGATACTTGAACGATGCTCTTGGACTTCCCAGTCTCTAGAATGATGAATCACACACAAAAAAAACTTTTTATTTATTTATTTATTTTTGGTAAAATAAGGCTCGGTAAATATAGCTCAGTGGAAGCATATTCAAAGCCCTGGGTTCAATTCACTGTACCTAAAAATAAAATAAAAATGGATCTCATTTCTCCCAAACATGACCACTGAGCACACATTGCACTTCAGCCTGTACCCACATTTCCTATTTTGTGGAATTGAAGAAAGCATTAAGAATCACCCCTGGCAGCTAAAGTAAAAAGTGCCATGGTTTGGAAGGTCATTGCATAAAGCCTGGACTCAGAAGAATACAGAGACATTGCATGATTTTAACAGGTGTTTCAAAGCATGAAGAATGGGAAAAAATTGAAAGGTTAGGCTACCAGCAGCCAAGCCTAAAAGAGAGCCTCATTCCATAAGGTATCTACTAGGGAATCCTGATGGGAGATGTCCTGATGGGACAGGCCATGATTAGTCACCTAAAATAAGAGCAGTCACCTCTTCATATATTTTTCCCAGAACTGGCATCACCCAGAATTTGTTTTCAATCCTATGATGTTCTTACTCTGCACTACCTGAATTCACAGGACAAATACCATATGGCTGTCTTTGTGTCCTGGATTATTTCTGCAGTCATTTTGGTGTTCCACTTCCCTCTGCTGGATAAAAGTGGTATAGCATGATTTCTGGGGCAGGATTGGTGTGGAGACAAGAGTTACACAACTGCAGGTTTGCAAGTACTGGGGTGTGTATGGAGAGTGTGTGAATTTGAGAATGAGATGGCCAGGGGAATGTCCTTCAGTCAAAGTACTCTCTAACATTCATTTCCGCCATTCCCTGGACTCTGGAATCTCTTATCTTAAAAGGGGGCTAGTCAACTACTTTGATCTTTGCAAACCGTGGAGAAAGGGGAGAAAAACATCTAGTCATTTTAAAATAGATTCTGAGGCAGATTTAGGGTCCACAGGAAATCTTCATTTGACATAAAATCATACCATTTGAGGTTTAGGCTATTTTAGTTTTGCTGTGACCTCTTGGCTGGGATTTGAGGGAAACTTGTATTTCTGCAGCTTTTCAATCCCCTAAATCAAACCCATTTGATGGATTTACTAATTCAATTGAGATTCCCTTTTCTCTTTGAAGTTTGTGTGTTACACATCACACAGAAATGTAAGCTTCTTAAGGAGATTTTTAATGCCATTTTCCTAGCTCACAGATACCCATTAAAATGGCAAGTCATTGATGAATGATGACTTAGAAATCACCATAAAGAATTTTTCAAACTGATTTTTCAAAAATCCCCTAAGTAGTTCTTAAAATCAACTTAATAGATTATGATCACAACCAGATTTTTTTAAAAATACTAGGGATTGAACCTAGGGGAGTTTAATTAGTGCACCACATCCCCAGTCTTTTGTTATTTTTTGAGACATGGTCTTGCTAAGTTGTTTAGAGCGTTGCTAAGTTGCTGAGGCTGGCTTTGAATCTGCAATCCTCTGGCCTCAGCTTCCCAAACTGCTGGAATTACAAATATAGCCATGGTGTCTGACTCACATTTTTTTTTTAAAGGAATGTTGTATGAGTAAGAATAATTCAGTGAAAAAAAATTAAAATATATACGTACTTATGGTATTTATTGTGGTTATAGTTAAAAAGCTTAGAAAGCCACTGATAACAATTTAACCCTCTCATTTAACTAATGAGAAATCCCCAGACCAAAAGAAATTAAAGAATCATTGGTTAATGTCTGGTTCCCCACACGAGTAATTTTTACCCTTAATCCTCTCACAGCTAACAAAGACATTCCTCATTTAGCATATGAGAGATCATTGGTCTTGGCATTCTGGTACTGAGACATCTCTGGTATAATAAAAGTCCTAATCCCTTCAAAGAGAAGCTTGAGAATGGTGTGGTAATAACATGGAATACAGTTTTGGATCCCAAATGAGAAGAGATAAATGGTAACTTTGAAACAATACATAAATGACTCCTCCTCCCAGAATTTGTTTTCAGTCCTATGAGCTCACAGTTAGACTAAAATAGCCTAAACACCAAATAGTGTGATGTTTGTGTCAAATGAAGCTTTCCTGTGGGTCCTAAATCTGCCTCAGAATCTGTTTTGAAATTTCTGGATGTTTCTCTCCCCCTTTCCCATAGTTTGCAAAGCTCAGAGGCCTTGACCAGCCCCCCTTTTAAGATAAGAGATTCCAGAGTCCAGGGAGTGGCGGAAATGAATGTTAGAGAGCACTTTGACTGAGGGACATTCCCCTGGCTTTCTTGCCTCATACTCACACACTTTCCACCCCCCCCCCTCGTACTTCGAATGTCCAAAATTACTCTTCCTTTTCCCCTTTCATAAGTATGCAGTGTGGAACATAAAATGAAACACCAGTTTGGATTCTTAGCATCACATTCTTGCCCTGAAATGTTATGTAAACTCAGACAACGTATTTACTTGAGACTCCTGGTTTTCATCCCTAAAATGAAAAGTCAGAACCA